GGGCCCATGAAGAGCAGGACCAGAATGATTTTCATGTTTTCTCTTTGCTTATTCAGGATGCAGAGACTTTTCCCACTAATAGTTTTCTCTGTGTGGCTGCTCTGAGTTGCAGAATTGGATCTATTTATACTCCTCTTCATTTCAGAAGAGGCGGTCGGTGGGTTGATCATTAAACTGTGTGTATGTGCACGAACATAACCCCTCACAGATGTAGGTTGATATCTGGGAAGATAAAACTGAGAGACGGGCACGTTGCTGATTAAACTGGCTCTGAACTTTTCCACCTGCCAGACCTTCTGTTATAAAATGTTATTGATGATGTAGTGTTTTTCACACAACTCTTTCTAATAGATTAATTTTGGGTCATAATCTTGATAAGGGCTCAAATTGTTTCTTGTTTGTGTTGTTTGATTCCTTTTATTGCCTCGGGAGTATGAAAGGATTTACCACACTTAAGAGCACTGGATGCTCAGGTTGTGCAGCTCCTTGATAAGCTATGGAAGGGCAAAATATTCCCAGATGATTCACACGACTTGATTCTCATCTCATACCGTTTTCTGATGTAACTCATTGTGCTGCAGTGGATTTACTTGTCATCCAGCTCAGATTAAGTGAGAAAGAGGGAATTAGGTCCAGAGATTGCCTGGATGTGATTCTACTATGTTAAGGTTTGTGCAGTAATTTACACCATATAAAACTTATTTTTTAAGAGCTGCTTTCCAGAGGTGGGTGAGATAAATAATACCTCGCTTACATTTCTCACCCTCTTTTTTTGCTGTTTAAGATTCACACTACATAAAGCAAGGCTGCAAGTGCTCTGAAATAAATACCCTGTTCTGCAGTGGGTCTCTGCATGGAAACATGGATGTTTTTTGAGTAGTATTGCAGTGTGACTGGAAGGTATTTCTCTTTCTGAAATTACTCATAGCAGTCCAAGAAATCAAAAGCAATCCATGCATAATAGAGTGTGTACTTGGGAGAGCTTTTAGGTAGCTAGATTTTTGTATGTTTAGTAATTCTTCCCCTGGACTTTTTGTTCATGTACAAATGCACATATGATATGAAGCAGCCATAGAAAAAAATATTTTAAAAATGAAGTTGTTGTCTCATATGTTGAACTTCCTGTATGTTGAAGGGTTTAGAATAGTACAGGTAACATCCCCACTCATAATTAAATACTGTTAAACTATTTTAGATCTCAAATTAATTGCTGGAGAATATTTTGTATTGGGTCAGACTTACTGGAGTATTTGAAATATAGAAAAACAGCAGGAGCATGGAAATCATCAGGCCCAACTTTGGGGAGAATGGGAATTTTTTCAAAGAGAATTTCCTGGCATGATAAGCATTTAGGTTGTCCAGAGTACAGAATTTCTGCAGTTCACTTCAAAGTACTTACGTGGCTTTGGTTTTAGGGGGTTTTCAAATGAATAACTTTCTGTTGTTTTAACTGTTTCTTGCCAGAAGTTTCTCTAGTTTGTTTTAAATAGTTTTGAATTCTTCCTAACCCCATCACCCCCCAAAATCTTTATTCTCAGCTTAGTCGTTAGAAAAATACAGGAAGTTACTCGAGAAATAGCAGCTGGAGAACAGACATTTTACCAGGTTTACAGCTTGAGGAGCTGCTTGTGCTGCTCAGATGTGACACTACCTTTTAGAAAGGTTTGTTTTCCAAAGAGGAAGGGCAGTCAAAATGCTCTGCTGTCAAATATTAAAAATCACAATTAGCTGCCAAGCACATTTCCGTATTAACGCCAGGCCAGTAAAGTCAGGCAGTGATAAGCTCACTAGAAAACATCACCTTTAGATGTCACAACAGTCACAGAGTGCATAAGGAAACTAGGGCACAGGAAAGCAGAGAGGGGAAAGGCTTCTGGCATGATTAAACTGTAAGATTCAGGAGCTGTGGAAACCCTAGGGGATAATCCTGCCTCCAAGGGCTGTTAGCACAGTCAAGGAAAGATGTATATAACAAACATGATCCTGGAGATCTTTCGTGCACCTGGGTGACCCTGATTAAATGGGCCTTAAATGATTTTTATAGTAGGAATAAAGCAAAGCAAAAGGTCTCTGGGTTTTACTGAAAAGGGAAATTTTCATGATAGTTAGGAATTCCCTCTTAAGAGTTAGGATCAGCTCTTAATGTTTTAATACCTTTATGATGGATTTTGCAAGATGGCTGCAATCACATTACATAAATATTTAGAGGAGTATCTGGTGCCGTTATTTCCATGGCTTGGGAAGCCTTTGCACTGTAGCAATTCATTTTATGGAAGTAGAAATACTTTTGAGATCTGTTTGAGATAATAGGATAAGCTTTGCATATATTTTGCATAGTATTTTAATAAATGCTCCAGACACAAGTCCTTGGGTTTAGAGCTCCTGGCTGAAACTTTTACTGGTAGAAATCAAGACGTTGCTAATGTTCCTGTCAGTGTTTCAGTCCTCAGTCCCTTTCCATGGCTCCTGTAACTGTGCTTAGGCAGGGAAATCGGTGACTTTTACTGATGTAGAGTAGAAGACAGGCTGGGAGAGCTGGGGGTGTTCACCTGGAGAAGAGAAGGCTCCAGGGAGACCTGAGAGCCCCTTCCAGTGCCTAAAGGGGCTCCAAGAGAGATGGAGAGGGACCTTGGACAAGGGCCTGGAGGGACAGGACAAGGGGGAATGGATCCCACTCCCACTGAGTTGTCTCCTTCCCTCCCAGCAGCCAAGCCCTGACAGAAGAGCTGCAAGCTTGGCTTAGGCTCAGCATAAATCAGTCCAAGTATAAGCCTGCCTTTAATTTAGGGATCCTGTAGCCTGGCTTCACAAATACCTTAAATCCTTCTCTTAAGCACTAATAATACTTAATAAAAGTTTTATGAGCAAGGTACATTTTAGAGTAGATTTTCATACCCATTTTCATTTTAAAAAGAACATCAAGGAGCAAATGTATTCACGCCAGAACAAAGTAATTTAGGAGAGTCACAAAAATGGCACAGGCCCCCTCTGAAATAGTACGAGAGCGTTGATTAGGCAAAGTGACCAGTGGGGATGGGATTCAAAAACTTAATTCACCATGAAGGACTTGAGAGGGAAGGAATTCCCACACGCCAGCTAAGCATATTCCTGTGCCTGGAGGGGTGAAGCAGAGCCTGCTTCATAGCCCTGCCCTGTGTATCCACCTGGAGCTGTACAGCTGGCCTGCTCTTAGGGAATCCCTAAGACCAGTGTTAGCCCAGTGTTAGTCCTGTATGGATGGGGCTGTCCATAGGTATCAGGGAGCAAATGGAGCTGCTGTCAGAACCGAGTCCTTGGGTGGGATTCATTGGCCAAAAATTGACGTCTGATGCCATTTCAGACAGCTTAGGGCAGCCTCTCTTTCCAGCTGCTCCTCCAAGAGGGTCCCACCTCTAGCCCTGTGCATGTGTTTTGGATACCCATGGCATCTAAAAAGGGACCAGGTACCTTCACTGAGTTACCACGCTCCTGAGAATCCAAAAAAAGGTATCTTTGTTTTCAGCCTCCTGTTGCCAGCACTCCGCAGTGGCTGCTTTATTGTGCCTTAAATGTTGTCCTGCTGTGCTCCTCACTTCACTTTTCTGTGCCCATCTGTTGTTTCCTGTCTCTCTGGGACAAGGAACAGTTGGAAACTACTTAAAAATTGTGTTCAGATCCTCTGAATAGCTCCCAGAGGGGAACAGCAGGGAAAGGAGCCTCCTTTTCCTTGTGCCTTACAAACCAGGGGTGTTAAAGAGCTGCTTCTTCAGTGTTTGAGTAAAATGCAACGTGCCAGTTGTTTATCCCTGGCAGATAAAGTGAGTAGGCAGTGTGAGCATCCCTCTTGGATCCTGTGATTGGAACTGTAGGAGCCAGGATGTCCAAGGGGGAATGATGCTGGTAAGGTGGGCAGGGCTATGTGGGAGATGGATTAGGGATTGCCAGGCTTTTTTAAAGGTGTATAATAATGCATATATTTTGGCTTGTTTGGGGGCAAAAGAAGGTACATTTCCTTTGTATAACTGAGTGTTGAGTGGAAAAGTTTTGGGGCTGTTGTCTTTTATACTTTAAAAGAACATGCAAGGGACTTTCTCCAGGTCTGAATTATGTGCTTATAAGGCAGGTGGGGACTTGTAGTGAACAGTTTTGCTAATGAAGTGTGAATCCAACATTCACCTTCTCGTCAAAGACTCAGCAGGGCTCAGACGATGAAAAATACTGCAGAATTTTGCATCTCATCACTGCTCAAGTAATCACAAATTTGAAAAAACTGAGCTGGAAGGGGTTTCCAAAGTGTGTCCCCTGCCCAGTGAAGGGGGCTTGTCTATAAACTCATCTGGAGGGGTGTCTGCCTCACCTGTCCTCAGAAACTACCAGAAAATGGAGATTTCACACCCTCCCAGGCAATTTGTTCCACTGCTTAACTCTCCTTAGAGCCAGAACATTTTCCCTGGTGTCTATCCTAAATCTCCTGTGCTGCAATTTCCTCCCATTACACCCTGCCACGTTCCCTGTGGATGTGATGAGCACTTTATTACTTTGGTCTCTGAAGCAGTTCTTTAGATATCTGGGAGTGTTGTCATTACCTGAAGCTACAGATACCCATTTAGTTTAATTCATTTTCAGAGGAGAAATGTAACCTGGAGTCACCATGATGGCAAGTGATTTAAAAAAAAAAAGAAAAAAAAGGACAGGCCACAAGAGGGGGATATTTAAGAGAAACCAGCTGCTTTGTGTTGAGCAAATAAACACCTCTCAGTAGTTTTATGTATGAATAATCATATTTTCTTTCCACCTGAACTTCTGAGATTGTAGAATCACTGTGAAATTTTTATGTGTTTTTCAAGTGCCTTTCTAAACATGAACTATTTCAAAATATGATGAGAGTTTAAAAACTATGCCTTTTGATGTCTGAAGTAAGGGGTCAAAGCCTTCATTTTGACTGTTTCCACAGAGGTTTAAATAACAGCATTAATAAATGTGTGAACCCTCTTATCACTTGATGCCTTTGTGTCTTGCAGGAATCTCCTTTACGTCTATCCACAGAGCCTTAACTTTGCCAACCGCCAGGGATCTGCCAGGAACATCACTGTAAAAGTCCAGTTCATGTATGGAGAGGACCCCAGCAATGCCATGCCGGTGAGGGAAGTACATTGTGCTCTGTGTGGAAGGCAGAGTACACACTGCAGTCATGAAATCGCTGTGTAAAGAAAACCTCACTGAAATACATTTCAAATTTACAAGTTTGGAGGAGCATAAAATCACAATATTCCAGAGCAAAGAGTACATTTGTAGAGAGTTTTCAAAGTAGCTGGAATTTTAACGTGAGGTTCTATACTGTGAGGGTGGTGAGGCCCTGGCACAGGTTGCCCAGAGAAGCTGTGGCTGCCCCGTCCCTGGAAGTGTCCAAGGCCAGGTTGGATGGGGCTTGGAGCAATCTGGGATAGTGGAAGGTGTCCCTGCCCATGGCAGGAGGTGGAACTGGATGAGCTTTAAGGTCCATTCCAATCAAAACCACTCTGTGATTTTATGATTCTGTGTTTGCAGTGGACACCCCTTGTGTTTGGAACAGCATCTTGGCATCCATGCCAACAAAATCAAAGGTGACAGACTTGTGTCCAGGGCCAGAAGTGATCCACACTCAGTGACTGTGTAGGGGTGACTGCATTCATCAGTTCTTCAGCCATATCTGCGTGCAGGTGTCACTGGGGTTATTAAAACTGTGACTCTTCGTGACTAAGTAAAACACTGCCTATAAGTGAAGGGGCAGGAAACGAGCAGGTGTAGCTGTACAGATGCACACACTGGTAAACGGAGCTCTAAATGTCTCTGCAGGACTGTGGAACACGTTCTTGGCACAGTTTTATAGGGAGATTTCTGTGGTTTTTGTCTTTTTGCAGGTCATCTTTGGCAAATCCAGCTGCCCTGAGTTTTCCAAAGAAGCATACACAGCAGTAGTGTATCACAACAGGTAAAACACGTGACAGCTTGGGAAAGGGCATGGCCCCTTCCACCCAAGGGAAGCTTTACCAGTGTGGAAGTGAAGTAACTCACCAGTGACTCTCAGTGTTCATTATTTATCAATGAGTGCCTGGACAGCACTCACAGTGACTGCAGTGTCAGTTGATGCTGTTTTGTGATAACTGGGAGCCAGAGTCTTTGTTTTGGTACAAACCAGCATTGTGTGATCCTGAGCACGTAGCCCAGCTCAGGAGATGCTCTGAGTACAACTCCTGGTTAGTAGTCATGAAGATTTATGTTATAAACTCATAGTAACATGTGCCTTGTTGTTTTGCTGGAGCCTTTTAGACTTTAGTTACAATTAGAAACTACTTGGTCTTGAAAATAATTCCATTGCAATTGGAGTGAGGACTGCTGAATCCAGCAGGAGCATGTTAATGGGTTTTGTAGCTGTGCCAGGGAGAGATGTACCACCAAGGAGAGACTCCTGTCCTGCAGGTTGGGCTTGTGGCAGTCTTACCCTTGAGAGCAGAGTTTATTGAGCAGTGTGGTTCAGGGTTCCTGTGTGAGGAAGGGGCTGCTGCCTATTTTTTTGTGGACTAGAAGTTCTTCCAGTCCTTGGTAACCAGAAAGTGAAGTTCTAATCCCTTGGGATAGTCCATATACTCCTTTCCCTCCAGATTCTTTAACTCAAGGGATTCAGTCCCAAGCATAAGGTATTAAACCACTCTGTTGGTGTGGATGACTCAGTTGAGGCTCTGCTCTCTGTGCAGATCCCCTGACTTTCACGAGGAAATCAAGATCAAGCTTCCAGCCACTCTGACTGATCACCACCACCTGCTTTTTACTTTCTACCATGTCAGTTGTCAGCAAAAACAAAACACCCCCCTGGAGACTCCAGTCGGATACACCGTAAGTGTCTTCCGGTCCTTGTTTTTCAGCACAGATTATATTCAAATGCGTTTGTGGGCAGCTTTTTAATATCACTGTCAACTCATATCCCACTGTAGAATTTGAGAATTTGGCAGTCAAGCCTGCAAAGTTCAGGAAAGCCTTAAGAAATGTGTTGGTTTTGTTAATTCCTTCTCATTACAGTGGATACCGATGCTTCAAAATGGGCGGTTAAAGACGGGCCAGTTCTGCCTCCCTGTTTCACTGGAAAAACCACCACAGGCTTATTCAGTGCTTTCTCCAGAGGTGAGTTCATGCCCCTGCTGAAAATCAGCAGAATACATGTGTTAAAAAGTGAGAGGATGTATGTGTACATATTTATGTGTGTGCTTGTGTATGTTCAACTCTCAGGTTATTGATTTATTAAATAAATATAAAGTTATTTATTAAATAAGTTTAGACAGGTGTGTGTGTTTGTTTGTGGGCATGTGTGTGATCTGGAAAAAAAATGAGAAGAAATGGCAATTGTAAATAGAAAAGCCTTAGTTCTGCTTTCTGTCACGTCCTCACTTATTCTTTTATCAACCTGCAGGTTCCACTCCCTGGGATGAAGTGGGTGGATAACCACAAAGGGGTTTTCAATGTAGAAGTTGTTGCTGTGTCATCCCTCCACACTCAGGTAGATTTTAAGGGCAGTCATTGTCATAAAAGAGTTTAGTAGTTTTTGGCAGTTGAAACACTGTCAAAGTTGATGCTGGGGAGGCTGTAATAATCACTTGTAGTGAAATTAAAATCTTATTTTCAGTTCTGAGCCAGCAGACCTGTTTTTCCACTTTCGGCTGTGAGTATATTTGAGAAGTTCTGCTTAAAAATGTGAGGAGTTTGGCCTTTATTCACAAGGGGTGAATGGCCAACAGTGTTTTCAGACCTCACTGTTGTGTTTAATAAAACAACTCTAACATACAGCCCACACATACGATGTTTTCTTGTTTTTCCTTTTCTCCTCTGCCTTTTGTTTCTCCCTGTATTTTCCATCTGTCTTTGATCTGAAAAGAAAGATGACAATCACTTTGTCTAATCATTTAAATTTTTTTTTTAATTAATTCCCAGTATGTCATTTGGACGGGTTTTTTGTGTTTTATTTGTGCTGTAAATAGTAATGTGATTTTAGTGCATTTTTTGTCTGTTTTTCTAAGGATATACAGTCTGTGGGTCCTCTAGTTTTGCCTTGACAGCTTCTGTACTAGAATTAGAATTAAGTTAGATATATGGGCAAATCCCTCAAAGATGTTGAATTTCTGCTGATTTTGTGAGATTTAATGGCCAGATAGAAAAATGAGTGTGAAAATCCATCCATGAGGTACAAATCCATAGAAACTGGAGTTAGAGTTTTGGAGCTTCTTGCTGATTATTGGCTTTTTGCTTGTTGTAGGACCCTTATCTTGACAAGTTCTTTGCACTTGTCCATGCTCTGGATGAGCACATGTTCCCTGTGCGAATAGGAGACATGAGAATTATGGAAAACAACTTGGAAAATGAACTGAAGAGCAGCATTTCAGCTTTAAATTCCTCTCAACTGGAGCCGGTAGTGCGATTTCTTCATCTCCTGCTTGACAAACTGATCCTTCTGGTAGTAAGACCTCCTGTCATTGCAGGCCAAATAGGTATTTTATTTAAGTTTTATAGAGAATTACATCGCTGAAAGTTTGACACTTCCAATTTTATCATATTTATGTAGAAATAAAAAAGTCTGGTTTTATGCTTTATTTTAGTGCCACTAATATACCATGTGTCTTCCAAATAAAACATGCTGGCACCCAGATCTGTAGTGATATACACAGGAGCAATATTTAATATAAAGTTTCCAGGAGTGGTTGGTAGTTTGATGTCTAAGTGGAGGCACCAGAAAGGAGCCTGGATTTCATGAGTTGGATGCTCAGCGTGTTTTTAGCACTGGAGCCTGTTAAGGTGTCTCCATCCTGACAATCAGAAATTAAGAATTGCAGCATTGCTAGTCACCTTGGAAAATCTGGAAGTGGGTAAGATAAGAAGATACAGATGCTGCATATTCCTGCAACTCTTGTGGATCTGATCTGATACTGTCAACATGAATAATCACTCCTTTTGCTCCCTGTTAAGGGCAGCACAGAAAATCTTAAGTTAAACTCAGGGTTAGATCCTTAGTATTCAAAATAGCAAGTTTTGCTGATTTTTTGGTAGGAAACCTCAGTTTGGACATGATGGAATAGAAGTATCCAAGAATGCTTTAAAAATACTTATGAAAATATTTCCTTAAAATAAAATTCTTTATTAATTTTGTCTTTCTGGGAAAGAATTTTGCTTGAACTTTTCTATTTTAAAGCTCATTGCTCTTTCAGTGTTCTGTATGGGTTTAGTTTGTTTGTGTGGAGCATTGAGGACATAAGTGACCTTTTTTTTAAATAAGGTTTACAGTCTTCAGCTACTTCATCACTAATCTGTTTAGAATAGATTTCTGTGCTTGTTGTCAGGACAATTTTTTTCATGTAGAAAAAAACAGAGATTTCTCATTTTCTCTTGCAGATTTTTGTGCTCACTTTTAGAACAAATTTTTTTTTTCCCAAACCAGAATAGAATTGTTCTTTTTGATCCAGTTTGTGTTTTGGCTAAGGTTTAAATGGAGGAAATAATTAACTGAGAAAAGGATAATAAAAAAACAAATGATATTATCCATCAATTAAACGAAGACATGATCTTGTTACCATTGCATTTGGTGACCAAAGTTGGGCTGATTCCAGAAATCAGCCTAAATATATTAAATTTGTTATTAGTAAAATCCCTGCAACACCTGTTCTCCTGTCAGGCTCTTTATTAGATCTGGTTCAAACACCAGGCTCAGTTTTGGATGAGAAATACTTGCTAGACTCTAACAAGCTTCACCATTTCGCCTTCAGAAGGTGGACAAAAGGCACATTTAGGATTTTCTCATGGGTCCTGCTGCAATCTAAAACAAACTCCTCACTTATTTCTTGCAGTTAACCTGGGCCAGGCATCTTTTGAAGCGATGGCATCGATCATAAACAGACTTCACAAGAACTTGGATGGAAACCAGGACCAGCATGGCAGGAACAGCCTTCTTGCTTCCTATATTTATTACGTTTTTCGCCTACCCAATACCTATCCCAACTCACCATCACCAGGTACCTCTGTTTTTCATTTTATTTCAAGTCGCACTTTGTTAAAAGAAGGCAGAAAGCGTTTGCTGGCAGGTGCTCCTGAGCTCCAACTGCATGTCTGGTTGCCTGCCAAGCCCTGTTATTAATTTTCTCTCTGATCCAGTGCAGGCGTTTTAAAAGATGAGTTTAATTACTGTTAGCCACGTCAGAGATTTACCTATCTGATGATTTTAAATAACAGTGTCACTGCTGAAAGACTGTAAATTATGGAAAAATACTTGTATTTTAGTTTTTTTCTGTCACAGGTGAGACAGCATTGGTGCACTCTTGGCCTGTCATGTTTCCCAGTCTCCTTCACTAGTACTTTTTGCTTTTATCCAGTTCCAGCAAAAGTTTAAACACTGGCAGAGGAGTGTGAAATACTTGTCTGAGTACAGGAGGGAAAAAATTAATTGCAGCCCTGCTGAGAACAAGGGGTATATCTGCATGGGAAAGAGGTGTTGTGAGTGACAGGCACAGAAAACCAGGTCTTGGAAGGACTGTTGTGCACAGAGTGGGAAACCTCTCAGAGGTGTTGGGAGGGTTTTGCGCTTTAAACTGTGCCCAGTCCTTTGGTGGGTTTCAAGTCTGAGGTCTGGATAATATCCCTTTAGCTAAAGACATACCTCACCTCCTGCCTAAACCCTCAGGGAGCTGCTTCTCAGAGATCAGTGGATAAAATAGCTTTTTATGCCCATCCTGTTCTCCTGCCTTTGAGAGAATCCTGGAATATGTGAGTTGGAAGAGACCCACAAGGATCGTTGAGTCCAACCCTTAGCCCTGCACAGGACCATTCCCTAGAGTCACACCATGTCCCTGAGAGTACCATCCAAACACTCCCTGAGCTCTGGCAGCCTTGGTGCTGTGACCACTGCCCTGGGGAGCCTGTTCAGTGCCCAACCACCCCTGGAGGAAGAACCTTTTTCTGAGATCCAACCTAACCCTGCCCTGACACAACTTGAGGCCATTCCCTGGGGTTCTGTCCCTGGTCCCCACAGAGCAGAGATCAGTGCCTGCCCCTCCTCTTCCCCTCCCCAGGAAGCTGTAACTGCAGTGAGGTCTCCCGCTCAGTGCCCCCTTCTCCAGCTGAACTGACCAAGTGCCCTCAGCACCTTCCCCTCAGTGGGAAGGCACAGGGAGGATTCCTTACAGGCCGGTTATCCAAAGGATTTGCTGTGTGAGGCAGGTGTGAAGCAGCCTGGGATCAGGGATGGGTGGACTAACAGGATGCTCCTGTGCAGGTCCTGGTGGCCTGGGGGGATCAGTGCATTATGCTACCATGGCTCGATCTGCGGTGAGACCGGCGAGCCTGAACCTGAACCGGTCCCGGAGCCTCAGCAACAGCAACCCCGACATCTCGGGGACCCCGACATCGCCGGACGACGAGGTTCGCTCCATCATCGGCACCAAGGTACGTCAGCGCGGCCAGGGAGCCGCGGGAGCTTCACCACCTCTTATTTCATCCTCAAAGAAGTAGCAGGGAAGTTTTGTGGTTTTTTTCCTATGAAAAATGTCCTGGTAGCCCCTTCCCAGACCTTTCATGTCAGTTGCTGATAACACTCCTGAAACTCCACTCCTTCAAAGTAGTTGCTGATCTCTCTGACTTGTTGGACCCACCTTGGAGTGTTGCTGCCCCAAGTGTGGTGCCTGGGGGCAAAAAGTCCTTCTGGACTTGTTTCCCCAGGACTAGTAGGGCAAGGAATGGTTTTACTGCCTCACTTTTTTGCACGGCCAGCAGCCAAATCCTGTGCCCAGCTCTGCTATGTTTCCCCAGACCTTGCACTCTGTGACCCTACTCTTATCTCCCAATCCAAATCTCTTTCTCCTCCTCTGCATTCAGCACTGATGGCTGCTCAGATTTCTCTACTCCTCATGTCCAGAGCAGGTATCTTGCACACGGCAGGAATATTCCCGGTCCCTGTGTGGCCCAGAGAGGATTTGGGAGGGTTGATGAGAGTCACAATTTGACCAGTTGATCTCAGTATGTGTTTGTGGTGTGCAAACTCTGCCCCCACACCAAAAAGTGACTTTCCAATGTGGATTCAGAGCATCCAGCATGGTCATACCCTGGCTCTTAAGGACTTCAGTATTTCCATCTCCTGCAGAAGACTCTGTCCCTCCTGGGGGCTTGCAGTTATGTACGACTGCCACAGTCCAAATCTGAGCCCAAAGTAGGTGAGATGAGCCAGCACAAAGCAGTGCTGGTAATTCCTTCCCCTGAGAGCAGTGTCTTAGCTGCTTTGGGGTTCTCTCTCTTTCTTTTTTTTTTAATCTTCAAACTGTGATAACTTCATCATGAGTCTATTTCCCCCTCTGAACCTTCATTCATCCCACACAGGGGATGAGTGAGCCCTTTCAAAGAGCTGTTAGGATCCTTTGGAAGATCAGTGGGCAAGTTTGTTATTAAAGCCATCAGTCTGACCAGGCAAGCTTCACTTGGCTGGTCCTGGGTTTTACAAGAGCAAGAAAAACAGTTTCTCAAAGAGGTTAACAAATTTAAATTAATAATAGGATCATTTGCTGACCAAATAAGAGGCTGAAGAATTGTGGATAGGCAAATGATTGTTTCTTATATCAAAGTCAGGACTTAGAAGTCTTAAAATATTTTAAAGACCACTTCAGTATCTTACTAATTAAACAAGCCTGACCTTTTGTGAAATGCCATAGGCACTGGTGTGCATATGGAATTTACCCAGGCTATCAGAAGTTTAACGTGTGCTGGCTTAGTGAATAATGTCACAATACAAAATGAAGAGAGATTTTTTTTTTAGAGAGGTACTCCAGGCTTTAAAGAAAAACCTGTTCTGTGGGTAACTGTTGAGGGGAATATTTCCTTTAGGGTAGTCTGAACATCAAGAATTAACCTTAGTCTGACCATACAGACTTTTGGTTGAGTATAATTGTTTCTGCTTGTTAATACCAATAGACAAAAATAAGACACTTCTTGAGATGTTGAAACGAGTAAAAGAGTGCAAGAATTCCTGTTGTTTCTCCAAGTAATGCCTTAAGCACACATCCTCAAATAAGGAACCTGCATTCGAATTAGAATCTATCACAGGAGGTTTTCTGCTCTAAAACTATTCAAACAGTGTTTTTTTGTTGTTTGAGGGAAGTCTTCAGAGTCCAGTCTTGTGTCAGTCTTTATTCTAATGTAAGATATTTATAGATTTGGCATATGTGCTTGAAGTGTCCCTTTATCTTACTTCTTACTTAATTTTGAAAACCCTTAACAAGATTTGATAGATTTCTGTTTATTTTCATAGCAGAGGAGGTTTTAGGTCTGTTACTTGTTTTGCCTTCATTTGTGAATTGAAGCCATGTAAATTTTATTCTGTACTAAAGCAAATCTATGAAGTGTCTAAGAAGACCTGTGGTGAGATTTTATGGCTGAAATGTTGGAGATGTGCTGGGAAAAAACAGAAAACATTGTGGAGTTTCATTGCTCTGACAGTGGATTTTTCACAGACGTGTGTTACATTCCTGCCCAGATCCAGCTGCAGGTTGAACCCCAGGGACAGAACAGACTTTAACAGCAGCTTTGTGAACTTTTGAGTGACTCTGCCAAGCAATAAGAAGCTCTCATAGTCTTTTATTTTCCAGAGAGGGAAGAGTCTTTCCCTTTCCAGATTTTTACAAAATGACTTCTGCTTCTGCAAACACAGTGTGTGTTTAATGCTATCCTCAGAACCAGAGTGACATGATAAGAAATCCTGAGGGCAGAAATATGAGGGGATAAATGCATTTTCAAAATTAGACCTGATTTTACAAAGCATCAGCTTAGTTCAGCATTCTGCAAAGTCCTTTCAACTTTAAATCACTGTGAGCAAAATAAAGCATGTTTATGGGTCTGAGCAGGGCACAGAGCTTTGATTTATTTCTGCCAAAAAGTAATTGAGATTAAAACACTCTCCTTATGTGTTCAGTATTTTTTTTATTGGACATCTTAAGCAAAATTACAGCATTGCCAAGCTCTGCCTAGAGGATGGCTCAGTGGATTAATGGTTTGAATCCCAGGTTACAGCTCTCCCACTGGGTTCAACCTTGAGGTGGATTTTAGTTTACTGGGAGAAATAGATTAGGCTGGGTGGACTTTGCAGCTGGTGATAATCACTGTGATGAAGTGGGCAGCACCTTTGCTTCCTGTATTGGGGAAAAGCTTTAAGTTGGCACAGAAATTAGGATGAAAGGTCTTGCTCAGCTGAGGGTTGTCAAAAATCAATGTGTGTAATTAATAGGGAATTGTCTCTGTCAGAGCTGGTTCCTCGGACCCAAGAATGCCTACTGCATCCCTCTGAGTGTTTCTGACTTTGGAGCAGCCTTGGTGACAACACAAATTTAAGTAATTTTGCCCACATGATCCATTGCAGGGGTAGAATTTGGAGTGCAGTCTAGGTTGAGCTTTTAAAAAGCAGGAAAATGTTTCAAATATTTTTGTTTGGCAGAGCGGGTTGTTTGCAAAAAAGGTATGTGCTTTTTCCTCCTTTGCCACAGTGCCCAGAGGAAATACCTGAGTGTCCATGTGAAATCCTGTCCATGGGGTTATTCTGCCAGCAGTGCTGGATTTTTACTCCATGAGTAGGAAACCCTGTGAGGGTTGACAATCAGCCTCTTCAAAGTTTCTCAGCATTTCTGTAAGAGTTGTACAGTTTATAAACTGTGGGCCACCCTAAAGGTGCTGGAAACATCAGAGAGCACCCTTTGTGGTTTTCACATCTGAGCATCAATTTTCCTCTGTCACACTGTAAATCTTGGCTGGCTGCATAAGAATGTGTTTAAACTGATCAAAGGAAAAGTGGGGTTTTTCAGGAACAGGATAGTTTTTGAATGTCAGTCATTACAGATAGGACAGATTGGCCCAGAGCTGTTGACAGTATTAATGTGCTGTATGTATGTGAGAAATAAAATCATCCTCTGGACTAAGATGTCTCGACAGGCACCTGAGAATTCAGGCTGCTCTCACAGTTCTAATTGCTGATGTGTTTGCCGTGTACCCACTTTGATTGCTTTTAAGGACTAAACTTTGACTACTGTATGGCAACATGTAATATTTCTTTCCTTTCCCAACTGCTTTCTATTACATGCCCAGGGCTTAGACCGCTCCAATTCCTGGGTAAACACTGGTGGTCCAAAAGCAGCCCCATGGGGATCCAACCCCAGCCCATGTGCAGAGTCAACACAGGTGGTGTCTTCGGTAGAGGTTTTTCTGGCTTTGTTTTCCCTGATGTTTCCCTGTAGAATATCTTCCTTTCAGTGTATATTCCAGTTTTGGTGGTTTGTTTTTGTTTTTTGTTTTTGTTCTTTTTAAATAATTGTTTATTTGAAAACTTTTGACTTTGATTTTATAAATTAGCATCTTCTCTCCCACCACCCCACCACACTGCATGAAAAACCTCCGATCGCGTGAACGTGTCCCCTTCTTTCATTTCAGTGGTTGCTGGTCTGTGAAATGTAAATGCTGTGACTGCTTTTGTTTTCTTTTCTCTCTCTCACACTAGTTTCAGCTTCAGGTGGAGCACATTTCTAAGTGGGAACATTAATCACAGCTTCATAGTTTTGTCCATGTTTGCCATTTCTTTTGATGTCGTGAACCATCTTGCCATTTTCATCAGTCATTTAGTGCTCATCGTCCAGTAATCCTTCATGACTGTTTGAGTGGAATATTGTGAACCAAAATTGATTATCACATGTCAAATTCTCTCTTAAAACATGTAAATTTGAGCTTCTGGAGCCGGTGACTTGCTAGGGCCAACTGTATCTGTTCTGTGTTGCAAAGTATGAAAACTTCACAACAGCTTCAGTCAGAAAAAGTTGATTTAGCCCCCGTTGCCTGCTGCTCTCCACTGCATGGTTGCCTTGAACGTACCTCTCAACTGTACCTCCTTTCCAGTTTATCAGCCTTCCCAAAATATTTAGTTTGAGTTCACTTGCTCTTACTGCACATTATTGCCATCAGGAACACAACTTCGGTAATTTTCTCTTCTCCTGGGCCAGCAGCAGCATTGCTGAGGGGTAAATCCCCCTGCTCTTGGCCTCTGGTAGATTGAGAGGTATGGGCTGAAATTCCAGGTATTACCTTCCTGATGCATGTTGATAAACTACAATGATGAAAAAGTTTCATGCTTTGCAGCATTGTCTTTGTGCATAAGAACATGCAGTTGTTTAAATAACCTGAAAAACAGACTGTCATTTTGTTTAAGTCCAACCTGTAAATGAATAAGAGTTTGAGAATGCTTAAAAAGGTGTAAAGGCATTAAAAGCCTACAGTTGGAACAGTGTTTTTTTTGTGCCTTGTCCTTGAGCTGCAAAACCCATCCACGGCAAACTTTAATGTCCTGTCATCATTCATTCATCTCCACTCCGTAGGCTACGGATCGAAGTTGTAATCGTATGTCTTCGCACACTGAGACGTCAAGTTTCTTACAAACATTAACAGGACGATTACCAACTAAAAAGGTAGATTTCAGTGAAGACAATTGATATTGTGGGGCAGGGAGGTCAAGTAATTCTGAAAACATGATGCAATCTATTCTTTTATTTACAGCCCGATTTTTTTCCCGAGGTCATTAGGAACTGCTGGTGCTTAACACCTCTGAATATCCAGGCTGTAGTGATTATTTGGAATTGAGTTGGGAAGAATTAAATGATCAGGAGTAGCTTGTCTGATTTAATGTCCGTAGTGTTTGGAGCCAGTTTATTACTGGCTTTCAAAAAATACAGTGTCTAGACATGTAAATGATGCATTTTGTGTGCAAAATGATAATGTACTGGATGGCCAGAGTTAGGGGTGTGTGCTGAGCTCCATTATTCAGGTGTGAATCCAAAGGGACCAGAAAGGGAATGGGAGTCACTTTGAAAGTGAACTCCCTTCGAGGAGATGAGATCCTTCTAAAACAATGTCAGAAAGGCAAAATGCCTGAGTTTTTGTGGAATGAGAATGTGGCCACTGCCACTGTCCAGTCTGTGGGTTGGTTGTCCAGAGAAAAGAAATCAAAAAGCTGTTTGAGCCCCATATTTCTTTCTTTTTCAAGTCCTTTCTCACAGTAAATCTACATCTTTGTACAAATCGCTTTATATGTCCACTTTTTACTCCTTTTTCCTGCGAAAATCAGACCAGGCAGAAAGGTAGACTTTTTAAACTAAACTAATTTGAGCACCAAACTTTTTTTTATTTAATTATTATTTTTTGGGGGTGGGTGGAAAATTCGTTTGACACTTGAAATTCAATTCTGGAGCGAGACTCTGTGAAACGTTTCTCACATCACATGTCATAACCTCATCCCTCATCGTTAGCTGGGGATTTCTTTAACGGGTGCCACCACTGCTGTCATGTTCCAGTTATTTAGTTTGCTTAACTCATTGTTTGCCATACTCCCCATGGACCGTGCTGACATTTCTCATGTGGACTGTGTTGGGAGCTGCTCTGGAGGCTCAGGCTAACTCTGGGTTTGAATCTGTGTAGCTTTTCCACGAGGAATTGGCCCTACAGTGGGTTGTGTGCAGCGGGAGCGTGCGGGAGGCAGCCCTGCAGCAGGCCTGGTTCTTCTTCGAGCTGATGGTGAGCAAACTGCAAACCCCTCCTCGTGCCTCACAGCTCCTAATTTCAAACAGAAGTGGCAACCAACTGGCTCTGCTGTAATTTATATTCCTGTAGGTGAAGAGCATGGTGCATCATTTGTATTTTGCTGACAAACTGGATGCGCCGAGGAAGAATCGTTTCCCCGAGCGTTTCATGGATGATGTAACTGCCCTGGTCAGCACAATTTCTGGTGATATAGTCTCTCGCTTTCAGAAGGTAACGGCAAGCAATTAAACTGAGCCCGGCTCAGGGCTCAGGCACCAGCCCTCCCGCGTGTTGTTTGGTGGTGCCTAGACCAGGAATGGTTTGAAAACACACAGGGTTCTTCATTTTCCTTCCCATTTTTCTCCTTCTCTCTAGGACACAGAAATGGTCGAACGGCTCAACACCAGTCTTGCATTTTTCCTCAATGACCTGCTGTCTATCATGGACAGAGGATTTGTTTTTTCTCTTATCAAGACCTGCTGCAAACAGGTAAATGCAGACAAACATTATGACTTAACTGTGAACCATAGCATAGCCTGTTACTCTTAACTTTCTTTGGACAGCCAGTAAAATATGGACACAGAATTCTGCTATTCAGGTCTTTTTAGAGCAAGCAGGGCATTCTCAGAGGTGATTTAGGGTTTATGCCTCTCTGATTACACTCTTAAATGTGAATTAGGAGTCACTCCCTTGAGTGAATGGACATGCAGCAGGAAAGAAGAATTATTCCCTCTGCTCACCACGTTCATGGTAATTGAATCAAAAATTAGTGGGAGGTTTTGGGAGGGAGCTCAGAGTGTTGTGGTTTGTCAGCAGGTCTTTTAAGGACACAGTGACCCTGTATGATCATATTGATCACCAAACTCCCACCCTTTGGGAGATGCAAGGTCTCCTCCCACACAAGGTGGGCTCTTTATTTGCAGTGTGACGGGGAAAATCACCCTGAACCACAAAATTTTGTTTGACTACAAACATCTGTGCTGACACAGGGTACAGAGGAGGCAATGAGGTATCAGTGGGACTAAACTTGAACTAATTTTTGCTGCAGTCTAAAATATTTATGTCAAGGGCAAGAACAGCAATAGCATTTGAGCTTGTTGCCTACTATATATACAAATATATATATATACTATATAGTTTATCAGCCAACCTGCATCTTTGACCTTTTAATGCATCACCCTGTGGTCCTGCTTCTCACAAGTACCTGCTGAAATAATAGGATGTGGGTATCACAGAAACACAGAGTGGTTTGGGTTAGAAGGGACCCTAAAGATCATCTAGTTGGAACTCCCCAAGATGTGAGATACATAGTTCTTAATTTGCTTATATAAATATGACTGTTATATACAGTGAACCAAGGTATATGTCATTGAAATTTAATCTGTAGCACAAAGAAGTGATGTGGATGTGACCATTTAATGATACCAAGCTCTAATTTCTTGCTTTGGAAGCGTTTTTGGGGACCAACAGTGGAACAGGGGCTCACTTTTCATTTATACTCTGGTTTGGTGCTAACTGCAGTGTTATGGGCTAAACTTTCCAGGTGTCTTCAAAGCTGTATTCCCTAACAAATCCCAGTAACCTGGCATCTTTGAAGCTGGACTTCCTTCGCATCATTTGCAGCCATGAGCACTATGTCACCTTGAATTTACCCTGCAGCTTGCTCACACCACCTGCATCCCCATCACCATCTGTGTCTTCAGCGACTTCTCAGGTACTCTGGGACCAGGATCTTTGTGGGAATACAGGCTGTGCTTGGTGCTGAGACTTAAATCATATGAGGCAGTTTTGTCACCTGTATTTTCAGCCCCTCTTGCTCATATTTTTGGAGGTGTTTATCTAGAAATTAGTTTTTTCTGCCACATAGGTTTTGATTTCTTTTGAGATTCTATTATTGAAAAAAGATTGCCCATATCCTTGTCCTAGTAGTGACCATACACTGTCCTTAGGGACCTTGTCCTCTCTTATATTAGACAAACATAAATGAGACTTTAAAGAAAATGCTTTGTCCAGTGTTACCCTTTTCTGACAACACAAGGGTCTTCTGAGCTTACTGTAGCTTGGTACTGGCCTGCTCAGGAAAAATAATTTGAATTAGTGTGTCATTTAAGTGGATTAATTAGTTGCAAAATCACGGAAACTAAATCAAATTAAAACCTTCTTCAGCCTGAATAAGAGCATCCCTGAGTTAAAAGTTTAACTAATCCACTTTTAAAGGTTACTTGGCTTAACTTTCCTAAGGGCCTGCTCTGGGAGGAAAGCAATAACAACAAACTGAATTAATAGAAGGGTTAATGAGCTGGGATATAATGGAAGTCGATGAGCCAGGATCCAAACAAAAAAGGGAAAAGGTAGTTTACATGAGACTGTCTTTGATTCTGAAAACTGCTTCTAATTCCATAAGTTTTGATTCTGTGTTCATGATGCAATTCTGAAATTTGAATTTTTCAGAGTTCTGGGTTCTCCACAAATGTCCAAGACCAGAAGATTGCAAATATGTTTGAACTGTCTGTGCCTTTCCGCCAGCAGCATTACTTGGCCGGGCTCGTGCTGACAGAACTGGCTGTCATTTTAGATCCTGATGCAGAAGGGTAAATCTTTACAATTGTTTTTTTCCAAAGACTTTTCTCTCATTCCAAGTAAATGGTGGGTTCAAAGGAAGTACTAGCATAGCCAGAATTTATTTAAATTTGCAAGCTCTGTTAAGAAAACAGTTCTTAAAGGATCTTCATCTTTCTCCTTGCCTCTCATGTTTCTTGCTTACTTATCCCCGAGTCTGTAAACATGATTTCAGTCACATTTTTCCAGCTGAGAAGGGAAAAAGGTTCCTACTGGAGCCCCCAGCTGCCACCAGGGCACTGCTGGAGCTCTAAAAGGAAAATAGCTTTTCTCAACTGTAACAAGAAAATAGTTTTCAGCATTTAGGAAGCCTCTGTTGCTGGTGGTTTTAAATGTTACAATATATTTTGCCTGTGGTTCTGCCAGCTCTTTTTAACCATAAATTATGCATTGATGAGGCCCCTGTGGGTTACATAAATAGACAAATAAAGTCAAGCATGCAGAGTTTGTCGGTGACTTGCCTGGCTTGTGCAGCAAATAATTTTCTGAAGTAGCCCATAGCCTGTAGTCCTGACATCCAGTCTGTTCCTGTGTTATTTAGGGCTGTATTCTGCCTTGCCTCTTTAAAATGGGTTGCAATGGAAATTATTGATTGCTTCCACAGCCCTAAGTTCTCTCACAGGCATTTTTCTCAAGGTGGACTCAGAAATATCAGCCGAGTCGACAAATGCTGATGATTCATGGTTAATTCTGCCCCTTTACCAAGAGGTCTCAGGAGTTAAACATTCATTCTGTTTCCTCTTGGAGAAGAAAGTGATGCCATAAATTAGAATATTTTCCTGTATATATACATAACACACTGCAGTCCCATTTGTTTGGTCTGAAATGGAAAAAGCAGCAAATCTCTACCCACATACACAGTCTGCAGAAATCGTTTTTGTGACATAAGGAACATCCTGCTTAGAAATCAGGTGTTTTTCTCTGACCATGTTTGCCCTTGGTCTTCACAAACTTTGTTTTCATCTACCTGTCTATTCTCTATCTACTTATCAAGCACTTAAAACCTGACCCAGGATGGTAATTTCTGCCCAGTTGCACAAGTGAGCTTGCTGGTGTCCACTGGGGAGACAACTCCTCTCTCAAACCTTATTTAGCCAGGAAAAGCCCCTGATAACATCTGCATATACATTTTGATCAAAGCTCCTGAATTTTAGGGGAGACATATACCTGTAATACATTTATTTTTTATTGTTTTCTAGAGTAATTTGTAGTTTCAAGTCTGTTGACTTCTCAAGCTTCAACTTTCTCCATTTGCCCTCGTAGATCTATTATGTAAAGTAAACAAAGTCTGTTCAGCTCTGCTCTTCCCTTGCCTGTGAAGACTTTTAACAGTCCTACAGTATCATCAGCAGAGAATTCAAACTTGCCTTCCATAAAATGTTTTGGCCACCATTGGAGAAGGCCCAGAATTGCTAACAGTTCCTTATCCTGCAGCAGGAGTGGAAAGGGATGTCCATGTAGTGGCTTATTGTGTTAGAGATCTGCCTTGGGTCTTGATAGGTGATCCAGAGCCTTAAATGTGTTCAGTTTTTGCTCTTTTCGCTCCATTAACAAGATATATTAAGTTTTAACTCATTTTATAAGAACTCTTTGGATTGAGTTGGACAGAAGAGATGTCAGTACCCTGGTCCCTGAAGGTGTGTGTTGGATGGATCCGTCTGTGTGGGGGGCTGTGCAGTGATAGGGTACAATACAGTCCTCCAGAGCATATTTGATCTGAAAAACAGGACAAACAGAACATGTAGGTGAAGGAATCTGTGGATTGGGACAGGTACAGAGAGTGAGTCCAAGCAACTGGGCCCTGAACAGGTTGACTCTGCAAATACTGCAGTGGTCCTTTGGTATTGACACACATTGCCCATCTTGGCTGATGTTCCAGAAGTGAGAAAACCAGAATTCAGCCCTCCGTGACTAAGTCAGTTTTCCAGGTGTGTGTGGGTGTTAACAGGAATTCAGGCCAGAGCTAAGATAAGAGAGGGGGTGGTGGGAGGGTAGCAAGATCAATTCATTGCGTTATCAGCCAGGAAGATTAGTGGTCTGGATTTCCTCCTCTCCACTATGGATCGATCTGCCATGGTGCCTGCTCGTTATGGAAAAGTGAGAGAGAAATCCAGGTATCCCTAGGCTTGAATTATGCTGAGTTGCTTGGATGTGTTTTCCCTTTCTGCAGTTCCATGGCCTGCAGGATAGTTTCCCTTTAATTTTTAGGAACATAACTTAAATGCCACTCCTTCAAAATAATACAAAGACTTTTCTTTATCATTAATCTCAAGGAACCAGTCACTTAAATAAGCATTTCCTTCCTAGTTGTTAAGGGTCTCACTAATTACACAAACAACTGGTTGTAGGATCTCATTATAGCTTGATTAAAAGGGAAGAAGTGCAGCTCCAATAGCTCATGTCCTCCCAGATTTTACTGGTGTCTTGGAATCACTTTAAACCCACGATAATCCAGTCAAAGCCTCTTTTTTTTAACCAGAACTCAACTCTACTTTTCAGGTAAAGTGGATACTGCCTGAAATTCAGCACTTGTTTTAATACGTCAGGTCTGAACACTGCAGTTTATGTTTTGCTAATGCCTAATGTTCGAGCTTCCTTGGCTGCTTCATGCATGGGGTAAAGTGTCTTCTTGGCCTGGTTTGCCTACAGAAGCAAATAGCTGTAGAGATAACTTGCTGTTTGCTCTGGGAGAGTTTTGCTCTGTGTGGTGGCTGAGGGGATTGAAAGGAGCAGAGCGAGTCCTTGAGAGATTCAGGGGAGTTTTTGTGTTTTGAAGCCACAAGCACCGAGCAGGGTCACACACCACCTGCAGAAGGGTCTGGTGCTTGAGCCCTGTCAGTGTTTGCATCTGAATAACGAGAAAGGCCATTTTTTGCTGGTTTTCCTTCTACCTTTCCTTTTCTTCACCACTTTTTGTTCAGAATTATGAATCTGTAGCCTACTGTTTTTGGTTCAATGATTGCATGGGGGGTTGGGAAGCTGAAGCAGAAACTTCCTGATCATTTGATTAAAGCAATGTTCTGACTTAGGAGGATTTGTCTTTCTGTAAATGGTGTTAAATAGAAACTAAACCCCACAACAAATAGTTTTACTAAACCCACTGTCCTCTCAAGTCTCTCTCCCTGTTTTTTATATTCCATAAGTTCTCCTAATGGCCTTTAGTAGGCTCGATGCTTCAGCATAGCAGTAGCTGGGGCTTTGGTTTTTTATGAAAAATATGGGAGTGTTCACATTATATTGGGTGTGCATTCCACAAGATATTTTTACTATTTTATATGGCACAGTGAAAAGCCAGACAGACATTTGTAAAATATGGGGGAGATCAAAAAACACATGTAACGGCAGTTCACGTGAAGTTAAAAATAAAAACCAGGGTTTTTTCCTTTTTGAAGCCCCTTAGTTACGAAATACAGTTTACTTTGAAGATAATAACTAATCTGCATGACCCAACTCTCTTTTAACAGTTTATTTGGATTGCATAAGAAAGTCATCAATATGGTACACAATTTACTGTCCAGTCACGACTCGGATCCCCGGTACGCTGACCCGCAGGTAAAGGCCCGGGTGGCAATGCTGTATCTACCTCTGATTGGAGTGATCATGGAAACAGTGCCTCAGCTCTATGACTTTACAGGTATTTTACATCCTTTGCTTTGAGTATCTGTTCATCTGCTCACAAGGCTTGAGTGTTTGGGTTCTAAAATTGAACTACAAACTCCTTTACTGTTTGATGAGATTGCTTCTGAATTCTCACTTTGACATGTTTTCACATCCATTTCCTAAAATGCACTTACAAAATGTGTCTTCAGTGACTGTTAACATTCGAAAGTTGTGTTTGCCCACCTGTTTGTGTGAAGAGAAAAGCCAGCAATGCATTTTGGTTTATACCTGGCTGGTTACTGTATACTTATAGCAAGCCTCCCTCCATGTCTCTGACCTGCTTAAAAAGTCATCCTATGTACTGTCCAATTCTCATAACAATTCCAAAGGATAAGCAGAGTTCCTCTTCTTCCTCTTAGCGTGTGTTTTACCAGCAGTTTGTCTCAGGTTTGCTTTGCAAAGTGTCCTGAGGAGCAGCAGAGGTGGGTTATTTCAAATCAGGGCAGGGAGTCCAGTCTGGAATGGTTTGGAATTTGGAGTTGTCCTCTACATCCTTTGGGCTTAATGACACAACCAAGCTGCAGGAAAGGATTTGGGGTGAAGTACTGAAAGGGACAAAAGGTGTGTTTTCAGAAGGGTTCTAGATACCGAGGTTGTGTAGGGTTTTCTTTGCTTCCATGCCCTCAGATAATAGTCCTGTTTATTGCAGGGCCCCTTGAGTGGGATGATTTTCAGTTTGCATTTCCAGTTCAATGAGACCAGCGCTGAGGAGGGAGGCTGGGGGAAGAAACTTTGGATCTGGGTGTTGACTGAAGGCCCATTTTTCTCTGCAGAGAGTCACAACCAGCGGGGGAGGCCAAGCTGTGTCGCAGTGGACGATTATGAAAGCGAGGGTGGCAGCATGATCAGCCAGACAGTGGCCATGGCCATCGCAGGGACATCCGTCCCCCAGCTCACCCGGCCCAGCAGTTTCCTACTCCCCTCATCGGTACAAATCCATCTCTACCTATTCCTTGACCCGCAAATCTGTGTCAAAAAACAAATATTTACGTGTACATGTTCTGTAGGGACGCGTATCAGTTTGCAGCTGGGTGTTACACGGGGAGGCAGAGGGTGAGAGATGAGGAACAAAGCATGTTTGCATGCTGCCGTGTCTGTCTCAGAGGGGGTATAAGAAAATGCCAAGCAGGAATCAAAATCAACAAACTTCAGAAAATGGGAGAATTTTCTTCTCTGATAAAGATTGTCTTGTTCTGAAAAAGTCTGATAAAAGCTCTGTGAAGTGCAGTGGTCATTATGAGCTTTAAGTCCTAAGCACAGACTTCTACCACATCTAAATTCTGCATGACTGAAAACACAAATGGGCCATTTTCGCTGTTCTCTGCACAAGGAGGGAATCTTGATGCTGGTAGCAGGCAGGCCCTTCCATTTTTCCCTCCTCCTCCCTTTACTCGGGTATCAGGATCCTATTTTCGTGGGATTTAGGTGCACTCAAAGAGAGACACTGGCAGATGCATGAGATAATGAATGGAGCCCCGCAGCTTAACTCTTAACCTGCAGGAGGTTATTAAGGGCATCTTGAGGGAAGAAACTCATTCATATAAGGTGATGGTTGAAGTGTTTGGGTGTGAAATCCACTGTCCTGACCTGTGTGCTGTAGAGTGGCAGGCAGCACTCCACCTTCTCGACGGAGTCCAGCCGCAGCCTCCTGATCTGCCTGCTGTGGGTGCTCAAGAACGCGGATGAAAGTGTCCTGCAGAAGTGGTTCACAGACCTGTCAGTGCTGCAGCTCAACCGCCTGCTGGACCTGCTCTATCTCTGCGTGTCCTGCTTTGAATACAAGGTACTGCTGCATTGTTGGAACCTCTGAAGGTCCTTCTGGGGCCTGCCCAAGACCTTTACACTCCCACCCTTTACACGACTGCAGAAAGGCATTTCCTGCTCTCCCCAAAGTATTTCCTGGACGTGGAATCCCAAGGCTGGGCACGTCTCTGTGCAACCTCGAGCCTTTTTCCATGTTTACTTCTTATCCATGTGAGAGTCTGTGCCTTGTTTCACTTCTAAAGCAGTTTGTGCTGCTTGACACTCATCTGGGAAGTTGCTGCAGGGAAGGGGCATAGCTCTTGGTCACTTTGCAAAGAGAGTTTTCTGTAGCAGTGCTGGACTCTGGGTAGTTTATCTATCTACCAGCTAAACCTGTTTTCCTTTCTTGCTGCATGTCTTTAGACAGAAAAGATATTTTGAGTTGTTAATTCTTAGAAAATATCCCAAATTGAAAGAATCTTCCTTCATGGTCTTGTTTGAAACTTGCAGGGCAAGAAAGTGTTTGAAAGAATGAACAGTCTGACGTTTAAGAAGTCGAAAGACATGAGAGCCAAACTTGAAGAAGCTATTTTGGGAAGCATAGGGGCAAGGCAGGAGATGGTCCGAAGAAGCAGAGGACAGCTAGGTGAGTAAAGAAGTCCTCTATGCCATCCCCCTTTCCCAAAAACTGCTACTCCCACCCCCAACAATTACTTGCACCCATCTGTGGTGTGGGATAGAGACAGCAAGGCCCCTAGAAAAACTGTTTGCAGTTTGCAGCATCCTTCAGTGGGTCTGCAAAATCTCTACGTTTTTCCGAAGTTACAAGCAATTTAATTGTTACTTGACTGCTTTTGTGTACATGAGATCACATTTATGGGACGTTCTTGCCCAAACTTCTTCCAGCGTAGCATCTTCCAGAGCCACCTTCTGGTATGTCCTGTGCAAGGATCAGAGTGGAAAACAAACTACCTGATCTTCCGTTGATTCTGAAAATTTCTAGATATTTCTGCTAACTTAGGGAGACTTGAAATAGTCAGGAGTTGGGGTAACAAGCACCTCCTGATTTTTTCTGTTTGTAAAAACCAGTAATTTTTCTGATCACTCAAATTCAAAGGGTGGCCCAAAGGTTAGGACAAGAATTAGAACTGTAGTTTTGTCTCCTGCTGTGCCACACACAAGCCGGTCGTCATGGGCTAAGTGGGTGAGTGCCACAGCCTCGGGCTCTAAGGAGTCATAGCTTGCTGTAACCTGCCACTTGTGAACAAATCTGGAGCTGCTACTTGTGCAACAAAAATGAGCATTAGCTGACTGCTGTGGTTTTTGGTGTTACCCTGCAGAGAGAAGTCCTTCTGGGAGCGCGTTTGGAAGTCAAGAGAATTTGAGATGGAGAAAGGATATGACTCACTGGCGGCAAAACACAGAAAAGCTTGACAAGTAACTCTGCCTTAACCTTCTACAATAGCCTTGTGCCTATGAGAACAGGGGCCCTCTCCCCACAAAAGGTCACTGCCAGCAGCCACTTGGCCCTTGTGTGAGCAGGTTTGGGCCCTCGCTTGGACAGGGCTGGCATTGTGCAAATGGCTTTTAGTCCAACACTGCCCCACTAACTCTTTGCTTTTCCACTGTCCCTTGCTTCCTTAGACTTTAAAATGAGATTTAAAGAGACTAATACAATCCATTACTGTCTTAAAACCCTGCCCTAAGCTGTAGTTTAGAGGGAAGATCCATTAGCAGTTTTCACAGATAGCATATATATCTCATGTCATATTTCCTTTATTCCATAAGAACATTCTGGAGTTCTCAAAGCTCGCTTTCCTTTCCTGTCCTAATCCATCACTTTGATTGTTTTTCCACATGTGCTGTGCTTTTAGAAGCCACAAACCAGCCAGGTACTGTAGCATTGGTGTGCAGTTCTTATAAATTGCCATTTTGTACATCTGCAGACTCAATCATCACAGCATTGTTTGTGATGCTTGGCAGAAGTTTTCAGTGTGTGTGTGCAACTGATTGGAATGAGCTCTTTTTGCTTATTACACCCATTTCCTTTAAAATTCCCTCTCTTGGTGTGGTTCAATCTGGAGGGCTCAGGAGTTGTGGTTGAGCTTCGCTGTGCACGTTTTCTGTTCCTCAAGTTGCAACCTGCAGCCTCCATCCTCCCAGCACAAGAATTGTTCCTAATCCTAGGAAAGCAATCTCGGTCCAAGTGAAGCTCTGAAGAAACTGAGGAATGGGGTCCTCAGAGCTCGGACGGAGATCAAGCCAAATTTTATCCTTGAAGACATTGACTCTTCGTGGAGTAGAAAGAAATTCTTCACAGTTTCTAGTGGCTTTGTGCCCCACAAAAATGAAATTTCTTGTTATGTCAAGTAGTGGCTTTTTGTCCAAGGCTCTAGTCCTGTTGAGGCATTGGGAAAGCCAAATGACCAGAGTGTTTCAGCCTTCTGATGACATGATGTAGATACAAATTCTAGAGCTGTGGGCAGAGTTACACCAGATTAAAATTTGGCCTGCAGAACTCATCAGTTCACTGCCGACACTGGATCTGAGCCCTCTCCTTCCCAGAAGAATCTCACCTGCGTGTTTTAACAGTTGTGGAATACCTTGATGGTCAAAGGATGGTATCTCACCTCACAAAATTAGCTGCTTAGATTACTCTGTAGACCTGCTTTCTAACCCTTGCTTGCTGTGCCCTGGGTCTCTCCTGCTCCCCTCCTGTGGATCTGCGTGTCCTGTGTACATAGGTAGAGCCTGGCCCTGTGAAGCCTCATAAACAAGACTGTTCACAAGAATTGTGTAGGTGGTGTAATTTTATGCAGATGGTATTACTCTGTGTAGGGCCAGGCCCCAAGCCTTTCTGCTCTGGAGACCCTGGGTGTGTGATCCAGCTTCCAGAGGAAGGATGTAGTGTGTGTCAAGGAGCCAAATCAGCTGCCACTCTCTTAGTTGTGTATTTTTCTTGGATTTTGTCATTCCCGTGGGTCACCCTCCTGCTGGGATTTGGCCTGACACAAGTCTATCAGAGATGGCACCTGTGGCAGGGCATACCAGAGCTGGGCTCTTTAAATACTCACCTGGATCTCTGCCTAGTGCAGCTGGTGCCACTGGAATGAGGTGTTGCTGCTGAATTCCTGGGGCCACAGGTGTGAGTGGGTGTATGAACTTTGTAAGGCTTTCCAGGAAAGTGCCTGGCGTGGAACAGCAAAACAGTGTCCTTTTTCTTGGAGAGGAAGTTATTCTTCAGGCATTAGACAGAATGTAGGTCGAACAGATAAGATTGCACCCTGGCAGTCTGCACTCTGTGCTACACCCAGTGTAAGTGCAGTTTACTAGCTCGTGTAGCACCACCTTGTGTCCATGGCCTATAGCTTAAAGCCACGTGTTCTGTTCCTGATTGTGCTGTCGCATGCCTAACAATGCTACTAAACCAGTCTTGAGTTGGACTTGGGTTTTAACCATTGTTGTGTCCCTGGGAGAGTGACAAAGTCAGAAAGTAGTGTGAGCTCTCCAAGCATGATGAACGTAAAGCCTGTGTCAGTCTGTATATGTAAAAAACTGAGTCTTTCTTCCTGTCCTCTCAGTGGGTGCATTGAAATATCCTCATAGTGATGTCCAGTAATAAATATAAAAATCATAACTGGGAATTTCCTGCTCATGAGAAAACATTTTTGACTCGAAAATATTTAATGTCTACTTGATCAGAAAGTAACTTTATTGCTTTCTTTCCTCTGATTAGATCAAGGGCAGAGATAGAACACGAGGCACTTATTGATGGAAATCTTGCAACGGAAGCCAATCTGATAATTTTGGATACATTAGAGATAGTTGTACAGGTAAGGATGATCAGAAAATAGAGATGTAGTGGCAGTGTGATCACCTGGGCAGGCAACAGTTTGTTAAACAAAACCTTCTTGCTGCTCTTCACTGTCTGAGAGCTGTCAGAACTGTTCAGCTGTTCTGCTGCAGCAGGAAAGGGGTAATGCCTCTCCTAATCCCAGCCTGTAACACTCTGGTTTTACATTGCAATACCTTCCATCAATCTATTTGAAAGTTGTTCCCCTTTATGGCGTAGGAAATAGTTACTAAATAACTCAGTAATGAACTATGAAATTTTCCAAGTCCTGCTCTATTCTGCCCTAAATCTGCCTGAAGTCCTCAAGTCATGAGGTTCCAGGTCAGCCTTCTGTATCTGTACTCCCTTTGCACAGTGCAGAAAAGCTTCCAGGCCCCCTGGTCTGTGTGCTCAGGTGGGTGAGGACACGTGGCAGCTTTGTCCCCTTTCTGTACAAATGAAACCTGGGCATGGGACTGGGAGCAAGGCAGGAGCACACTTTCCAAATCCACCTCTCCAAATCTGCAGAGAGACGCAGGAATCCCAAGGATTGCACTCTGTGCCTGAATAATCCAGCTATGGGCTCTCCCTCTAGTGGAATAAAGTTCCCAAAGGTCAGAGCCTCATCAGGTAGAAAGAGTCATCATTCCATCAGCTTTATCCATGGGTCAGGTGTTCATTACCTGGGGCTTGGTTCAGAATGTGGCTAAATGGGTGATTTCTCCGTGCCAAAGGGCTTTTTGTCAGAGCTGTTTTCTCTCTCACACACACACAAACACACACAGGAAGTTCATTTTTGCTCATGCAAATCTTGGTTTCCTTTTTCAGACTGTTTCTGTGACGGAGTCCAAAGAGAGTATCCTCGGTGGGGTGCTGAAAGTGCTTCTGCACAGCATGGCCTGCAACCAAAGTGCACTTTACCTCCAGCACTGCTTTGCCACACAGAGAGCTTTGGTCTCAAAGGTGAATTCCCTGTGGATGCTGTAATGTATCCTGACAGCATTGAGGGACGATGGGACTGTTCCTTCCTTTGTGTTGGGGTCACTTCACCACGCAGTTATTATATTTTGCAGCATTGGTTTTCAGGAAGCGTGGTCTGGGGTTTAATAAATTGGTTTTCATGATCAAAATTTGTGCATTTTGGTTTGATGGCCACACACAAAGGTCTGGATCACACACCCCAAGTGGGGTTTGGGTTCCTGCTGGGTGAGTGGGCAGAGGCACCTGGTCAGTTGGAATCATAAGGCACAGGTGGGATTTAAGCTGTACAAATCTCAGAATGGATTTGTTTTACTGGGCCTATAAAAACAAGGTCCCAGTTTTTGTGGGTGTGCTGGTAAAAGCTGAAAAATTTTAGACTTGAGGTTTTGGAAGTGATGTAAATCAATCTGAGGGTGTAGAGGTGGGAGCAAGTTGTGGGAGGAGGTAAAGTGGGTTGCCTTCCAGTGCTGCCAGTCTGCTTTGCCATATTGTAAGGTGAAATGATTCAAGTTATCATCATTCCCCTCAAAATAGAGGACATTGGGCCTGCTCTAATTCCAGTGTGTTCTCACTGAGGATCGCCCTGGCCTTTGTGTCTGAGTGCTTGTTCCTGTCTGTCAAAGCTTTGATTTCCTGTTGTGCTGTGTCCCAGTTCCCTGAGCTGCTGTTTGAAGAGGAGACAGAGCAGTGTGCAGACCTGTGCCTGAGGCTCCTGAGGCACTGCAGCAGCAGCATCAGCACCATCCGGTCCCACGCGAGTGCCTCCCTGTACCTCCTGATGAGGCAGAACTTCGAGATTGGGAACGTGAGTATCCTGCACTTCCCTGGGTTATCGCTCATAAGGGGACTGGGGGCTGCTGGCTTTGGTTACAGACCCCCAGAGGGAGTAGCAGAACTGGGGGAACACCCTGGTTCTGGGTCCAGGGACTGTGAGGGGACTGATAGCAGCAAGGTAACAAGACTCCAGCTTTCGGGATACACCAAAGGGAAACCAACTGCCTGGAATCAAGGCTGCAACGTGAGAGGGAGTTGAACGTCATCCTCTTCAGGGTGTGTGACAGGACAGCATGCAGGAGAGAAAACTAAATCTTTTGCAGGAGACCCTTTATCTGGAGCTAAATAATACTGTCACCGGATTAGGAAGTTAGGCAGCAGCAGGGGTTTATTTTAATCACTGCTCTGAAACAGCCCTTTCTGCAAAACTGGAGTTTTCTGTGTCAGGCTTCTGTCAGGAGGAGAGCACCATGACCAGAGCACTGATGCTGCAGTATCTCCAGTTTGCTGGAATAATAACAATATCTCTGTTGCAGAATTTCGCCCGAGTGAAAATGCAGGTGACCATGTCTCTCTCATCCCTGGTGGGGACATCCCAGAACTTCAATGAAGAATTTTTGCGACGTTCCCTGAAGACTATTTTGACATATGCTGAAGAAGATCTGGAACTTAGGGAGACAACATTTCCTGACCAGGTAAAAGGCATATACCACAAGAGGTGTTAACATGTAGTTTATTAACAGGCTGCGCTTAAGCCTCCATCTAGAACTGGAATTTGCAAGCATTCCCTGAAGAAGGGTTTGGGTTTTGTTGGTGTTTTTAATCATATAAATACATAAAACCCAGGTCTTTTGATTAATTCTGACAAAATACAAAACCACAAAGATTCAGAGTAACTGTGGTCCTCACAGAACAGTGTGTAGCTCAGTTCCCATTCCCAGTTAATAAAACAGTGTATTTTTTACAGGTCCAGGATCTAGTGTTCAACCTCCATATGATCCTCTCGGACACAGTTAAAATGAAGGAGCACCAGGAAGATCCAGAAATGCTGATTGATCTGATGTACAGGTAGAGTTTGCACTGTAGGGACAGTAGATGTCAGTGCTCCATGTGCTGTTCAAACAAGCCTTAGTACCTACTGCATTTCTGTATTCACTGTGTGAGGTGTTGGTGTTGCTGTGAGCTTTGATTACTTTTATTTTATTACCAATTATTTTACTTTAAACTTAGTCCTGTTTTAAACTGATTGCCACGATTCATATTATATCTGAAAACAACACAGCTATTTGTTGTTTGGGTTTAGGCTCAGGTGTTGGACATCTGAGCTCTTACAGGAGTTGCTTTTGGAGCAGTTTTGAGTCTCAGTGCTCACAGACCTGTCTGTTGTGATTGAATGTGGTGTTGATAGGTTTTGGTTGGTATTTAAGTAGCTTATCTTGGATAAAAATAGTTTCCATTCCCCAGCAATCCCTGACAATCTTATCCTCCACCTGAGTAAAGACAACTCTCTCTGCTTGCATCAGGGAAAACTTGAGGATCTTCCAGGACCTGCTTGCACAGGAGACTTTTTGGTGGTACATATGATAGTTTCCATATGCAAAAGATGTTCCAGAACCATATTAAGACCCCAGCCACCAAATTCCATGATGTTGTCTGCACAAATGGTCCTGAAGTCTTCTCAGAAGTCAGCAGAGGTTTTGTCGTAAGCAGCCAGGCAGGTCTGCTCTGACTGTGCCACACCTTTAGCTTAATGCCAATCTCCAGGTGAAACAGGGGCTTTGGTCAAGAGCTTCAGCATCACCCAGGCTGCAGTTGCTCCCCCACCACTGACTGGCTCAGAAATCTACAGCTTAGGGTAACTTTCCATCTACACAGGTTCTTACCTCATGTATTTCTAGAGAGCCAAGCACTGAGGGTGGTTGGTATTTACACAGACGTAACTTAAATCCTGCATGGAAAAAAATGTGCTGAGGTACCATGCTGGCTCAAAGGGAAGTAAATGAAATCACAGAGGTTTTCTTTTCCATCAGGATTGCAAAGGGCTACCAGAACTCTCCTGACCTGCGCCTGACGTGGCTGCAGAACATGGCTGGGAAACATTCCGAGAGGAGCAACCACGCCGAGTCCGCCCAGTGCCTGGTCCACTCTGCAGCCCTGGTGGCTGAGTATCTCAGCATGCTGGAAGACAGAAAATACCTCCCTGTAGGCTGTGTTACATTTCAGGTGGGAATTACTCTCTGTAATGGATTTCTGGGGTCTGTCACCTGCTGCTGAGGTACAAAGTATCTCCATGTGCCAGGTGTTCCTGTGCCAACCTACACGAACTGCACTTACTCAGTTTTGTTGCATGAATAATGTGCTGCTCTATAAAAATAGAAAGCTGTATTTTATGTATATTCTCTATAAAAATGGAAAGCTACCTCTATAAAAATTCTAGGATTTGACTAAAAATCAGCTGGTTTTCAAAGTATTGAAAGTCGTTTAAATTGAGTAAAAGTATTTTATCTATTATATCTCCTCAGAACATATCTTCCAATGTCTTGGAAGAGTCAGCAGTTTCCGATGATGTTGTATCACCAGATGAAGAAGGAATCTGTTCTGGGAAGTATTTTACAGAAGCTGGTCTGGTGGGATTGCTGGAACAGGCTGCAGCATCTTTCTCCATGGTAGAAGACTAATTTCTTTACCTCGCTTCTACAGCAAGCTCACACTGCTGGGCACTATAAAGGGAAATGTTTTCTCTCTTAGTATTTAATTCTGTTTTAAATGCTTAATTTGCATGGAACAGTAGGAGTTTTAGTTGTTTAAGACAACCTGCTTTGCCCTCTGTGCAAAGGATGGGATCTGAGACCTCGATGTTTTCCCAGTGTCTTTCCCTTCTCTCTGCACATTTGGGAATTCACAATGGGAAGAAAGGCCATAGTGATTTTCCCTCTCTTCATGAGAGTGGGATGAGAGCCTTGTGTGAGCAGTGTGAATGGTAGGATATAATCCATCAGAAACCAAGGAAAATGAGTGAATTATTTCCCACTGCACAATATGGAGTGTCATTCAGTGCATTTAAGTACAAGCATCAATAACTCCAGGGCAAAGACCTGGAATTCCTGCTGTGGTCTGACTAAGCCACTCAATGCATTGTCTGCTATGGGCTGGATTTCCTCCCTGAGAGAGATCCTAAGGAAACTTCCCAAAACCCATCTAACAGAGCAGCACAAGTGGACGCAGAAGTCACACAGGTTGAAGATACTCTGAACAAAATGAATTATAGTGTGCACTTAAGCTTCCAGAGTTAATTCCCGTAGATTTGGTTAGGATCTGATTTAGCTTGCTATGTTCTTGTTGCCTGTATCCATCCAAAATATCCCAGGATTGGTTATGTTAATAATCCTATTTACTAGTAGCAGTGTGTAATGCAGTAGGCTGTTGATTTCAAGGGTAGCTGAGGATTTTATTCCATTCATGTGTGGGTATATTTTAAGAAAAGATGCTGATTACACCACAGTGATGTCTAAGCCACCTTTTCATTTTGCAGTTTTATCATTTAAATGCTGATAGTATGAATTATTCTGGCTGTTGAATTGATGGAGCCATCTGATGGACCTTATTTTTGTAGGCTGGCATGTATGAAGCAGTTAATGAGGTTTACAAAGTCCTTATTCCTATTCATGAAGCCAACAGAGATGCCAAGAAGTTATCTACTATTCATGGTAAACTGCAGGAAGCTTTCAGCAAGATTGTTCACCAGGTAATGGTTTGAATTTTTAGTTGCAGGGTGAATTGTAAAGAAACCCCAAATGCTCAGTGCGAGTAAAATGAAAAACCATTGTAATCATATTCCAAAAGAATTGTCACAGTGGTGATCCACAGTAAATACGAGGATCACTGACAGGATTTTTTCTCTCTGGACATTGAACATGAGAGAACATCACAAATCAAGTTTTGTAACTTCAGAACTATACCAGAGTTAAAAATTCCAGTCATCTGTCAGTTTATCCTTTCAGAGTTATTTTAAACTATGTTTTGCATGTTTTGCCTTTAGCCTGGTAGGTAACACTGAGAAATGCTGGGGGTTTTATTTGTCTGTTCATATGGTGGATAAATATTGAAGGAACCTTTCTAAACTGGGATGGTGCAAAACCCACCAACTTAGGGGCATTTGGTGAGGGACTGGGTGTCCTTTGGATGCATGACTTAAAAGTATTGGAACCATTGCAGGTTTATGGTGCTTACTTTGATGGTCATGTTTTGGCCTTTGAAACTCTTTTTTTTGGTTTCTGTGACATGCCCTTTTTACTTTTCATTACACAGAGTACTGGCTGGGAGGTAGGTAACTCCATTTTAGTTAGTAAAGAACACTAATAGATTCTCCAGATGACTCACGCCAACGCTTGCCCACATGTGCTAGTTGTGGGTATTTCTGTTGCTGTCTGCTGTTAAAACAATTCATTAACCAAAGAAATACCAATAAACTGTGGTTGTAGTAGGAAATTCTTCATAAGCAGCTGTAGGTAGTGCATGGATGCTGACGTATTCCACTAATGAGGTTCTTTGGTGAATGAGCCACTGTATCATCACTAGTTTGTTTTTATAATTTGTTTATATTTCTTTCCATCAGCATTGACACAGAATATCATCCCTCCATACCATGTTTTCACCCCACCCACAGGGGTCGATTTAAGCAATAATGCTCAGAGGTACCAAGACACAAACCTGGTTTCCCGCAGGTGCAGATCTTTTCTCTGAGGAGAAACTGCTTCGTTCTGTTCACCTAAGAGCAGTCAGTTTGTTATGTGGTGGTTTATCTGGCAGCAAACTAGCTCAGTTGTGTTAACTGGGGTCAGTTTTGCTGCCTTCATTTTTGTAGGGGCTGTTTGCTCACATTTTGGTGACAATACACCACGAGAACCACACTTTTTGGTAAAAATAGACAAAGCAGTTGGTTTTATCTGCAGAGCCAGTTTGACTCCAGCCCCAGTGACCTAGTGGGTACATGAGCATGGAGAAGTCTGAGAAGGCATTTAAAATATTCTGTGAATTTGATGTTATGTGCTTAGGCTTTATCTTTCCAGTTTAGCTCTGCTTTTCTGTGAATCAGGCAACTCATTTTAGGCCACCTTCCTCCAGGTTTGCACCACAGGAGAGCATTAAGGCCCACACAGAGTGAACTGGGCTGAGACCAAAGGTCTTTGATGCAGGACATAAATAATTTGGGCTGCTGATGTCTGCATGTCAGCTTTAATTCCAGCCTAGAAAAAAAAATGAAATTAAAAATAAAAATAAACCCTGACACTTAAGGGCTGGCCCTGTAAATCATTTCCTTATTCCCATGAAAGGTCCCAGCAGATGAGACAGCACAGCAGCCCAGAGTACCTGTTCTAGGTGTATAAATGATGGAAATATGTTCAATAACCAATAAAAGTGGAGGCCTGTGAGCATCTATTTTATTAGTCTGCCCCTAAATCGACCCCTGGAGAAACTCCTGCCATTGGTTATGATTCTAACATCACTTGGTCATGTTTTACTGCATGGTAAAAGACACCCATGGTTTCAGTTCTCCTCTGTCATTGTGCTCCTTCATTGCCACACTTTTTCTGACCTTTGTGCTTTGTAGCTTTCAGGTTTGTTGCATGTTTTGCCCTTTTTCCTCATTTTAAATATTTTAATTGATGCTCGCCCTTTTATTTTTTTTTTTTTAATTTAAAATTTATTTGCTGCCAATTTGCTGCTTGTTTGTTTTTTGGAATTTCCCTAATTAAATACTTTCTGTTTTCTCCTCTATCGCCCTGGTTGCTGACCCTCCTCCCCACTCTTACTATTGTCTGTTGTGGTAAGTTCCTACTTGTGGAATTTTTTTCCCCTTTCTCTTCCCTCCCCCCACCTCCCTTTTTGTTTTTTGTTTTACACTGTGGAAACCCCAATTTCATTTTACCAAAGAGCTCTGCCAACAGCAGGACCCCCTCGTGTCACAAGGACAGCAGTATTGCCAATTACAAGAATTCAAGTATCCCAAACCTGTCACCAAAGCACTTCTGACTCTCCTTAAACAGACCAAGTGGTGGGGTTTGTGTGTTTGTTCACTGAGTAAATGTTGAATTAATTATTTTCATTATTTATATTTATAATTTTCAATTAATACTCTTCACTTAGAAAAGTTAAGAAAAGTCTTTTCATGAGAATTTAGAAGTGCTTTTTAAGGCGTGCAGGGGGAGGTTGCTAGTGAACAACAGGAGCTGATAATTTCCAAAAAAATCAATATTGGAAGACTTGTAGTAGTTGGCAACACTGCAGAGGACCTTGACTTAAAATTGAGGAAGGAAATAACTGCTGAGTTTGGTAAAGATGGTTGGATTCTGCATTTTGAAGGAGTAACTTTTATTCCTACACTCTTCAGGCAGCTGCTGCTGTTTTGGTCTCAGCGAAGGAAGCAGATGACCATTCTTGAGTCTGATGTTTTTTAAAATCTTGTTGGCAAAGCTTTTTGTGTTTGTGCAAGAGATAACCCTAAAACTTTATTCCCAGCAATTTGGAAAGGTATTTACCATGCATAATAACAAATCATGAACCTTCATAAGTCATGGTGGCTGTTATCTGCTCTGCCAGTTGTGTGATGGCTATTCAGTGTTCACCTTCATTCTCTTCTCCTCCCAAAGTCCTATTATTTTTGATAAAATAATAGGAGATACAATGCTTTTAATAATTCCTCCCTCATATCTGCATTTTTAGCTCTTGTCAGAAGCAAGGCCAGGGAGTATTAAGTTATTTGTTTCATTTTCACTGCTGTGGTTGGAAAGACTTGGGTGTTGGATAAATATCAAAGATCCCAGTGCAGAGCATCCCCTATTCCCAGTGCCAGGATGGAACTGAGCTCTCCTGATCTCAGGGAACTGGCAGCTTCTGAGTGTCCATGGGAGGTACGGAGTGGTCTGTATATGTTTGTTCCCCAGAGGACTTGTTTGCAGGCACAGATTCCCAACATGAGTCACATCAGAGGCTAACAATGCTCTTCACTGCTGGTTCTTCACCCTGGGATCCTCATAACTGAGTTGAGCAACTGGATTTACCAGGAAAAGCCAGTGCAGCTGCTCTTCATGGCAATGACGTGAATACATGAGCTGGGAGCTGCCTTCATATGGGGACATGCAATCTCACCAGCCTTCCCCCCTTCTCCTGCCACTCCTGAAACTCCCCAGTGCCCTTTTACTATTATTTTATGCATTTAATAAGTGCCACCAGAACTCCTTATTAGTTTATGCTGATCAACAGGCAGCATTTTCTTCCTCCCTCGTTATTTTTACGCTGCCTGGAACAAGGAGCTGCCTGGGGAGGTGTCCACATGGCAGATACTTGTAGGGACCAGGTTCTGCAAATGCTTCATGCCCTGAAAAGCACTTGCCAAGTAGGAGAAAGCTCATGAATTAGAAGAGCAATGTGTCCTCCATCACCCTGTGCCCGTGGTTTGGGGGAGGATCCCCCAACTTCCATGAGGAGCATGTCCAAGCCTTGCGTAAGGTTGGGGAGCTGTTCCATATGGCAGTTCCCCTCAGGCAGACATGGAATCATGGAATGGTTTGGGTTGGAAAGAACCTTTAAAACCCTCTAGTTTCAGCCCCCTGCCATGCACAGGGACACCTTCCAGCAGGTACTACCATGGGAATTGCTTTGACAAAGGAGCCCTGGAATCACAGCCTTCTGCCTGGAACATTGAGATGGAAGAAAATAGCCCAGAAAGCTGGAAATTCTGGGCATTGAGGAATTTAAGTGTGGATAAAAATATCCAAAACTGTGGCTTTAAAAAGGCAGTGATGAGTAAAAAGGGTTCAGTAGGCTGCTCATGGATCCAGAGGGATGGACACTGGACAAAGAGAGAGTCCAGGGAAATAGCAACCCAGTGTTGCCAGCTGCCACTTCCAATAAAACAGCAACAGCTTTGCAGCAGGAGCTCACACACTGGGAGGTGCTCCTGGGATCCTGGGCTGTGATGAAACCCTGCAGTCTGCATTGGCAGGTGGGGCTGGATGAGAACTCCTCTCTGCAGGAGGGATGGGCTAGAGCAGGGATCCAGGGAGCCTGGGCAGAGCTAGGTGGTGTTTTTTTGGGATGAGGGCTGCTACTCATCCCAGGTGTCTTCAGGAGGGCAGAGCTCTCTGATGCCCAGCTCTGAAGTGTAAGTTTTGGGACCTCAGGCACCTCCAGCATGGTGTTCCAGAGTTTCCTCCAGCCCAGGAGAAGTCAGTGGCTTGCCATGACAGTGCTTTTTCCAGTCTGGAGTTTACCTGAGGGTTTTTTTGTTTTAGTTTGGCTTATCTATCCTCTTTGCCTTCCATAGATCATGTTCACCATCATCACAAGAGATCAGTTTTGCCATAGCAAAACACTCAAATCAAACAGTACCCAGCAGCCAGGACACCTGTAAGGGCTGTTTGAAGCCCAAATCTCTCCCAGATCAGGAACACTGAGCATTCTAAACTGCATCACACTTTCTCATGAGAGTAAAGGTGAACATTTAAGAGTTTCTTGCTGAAAGGCATCCCTGGTTTGTGCATGCACTGGGTTTTTTTAACAAAAGCAAAGGTGTGTTTAATTTTAAAGCATTTTTCTTCTCTCTCTCTTAACCAGATTTTCTTCGTTACCTTTCCAGCAAAAATCTTTCTTGTTTCTCTACTTTTGTTGCGTTTCGGGGCCAAATTCACCACTGGCTCACATGGAAGCAGGTACATGACACAGGATTGCATCTGCTTTCACCAGGAGTGACTTTGGCCCTCTCTCCTAGACAGTAGTTACTAGAGGAGAGTGTAACACCTCCCAGTTGAAATGCTGGTTAAAAAGCACTTGTGTGTGTGTGTGAGTGAACTGGACATTGACTTCGGCCCAATCCTGCAATTACTGGAGAGTGGACAATGGGGGTAATTGGTGCTGGGTATGTTCCAGGGGGTCTGTGTGCAGTGTCCTCCCTGCAGGATGGCACCAGCTGGGCTTCCCTGTGCTTACCTGCTCAGAGTGTCTGCACAGGGTTTGGAGAGCCTGGAATAATCACCCCAATGAAGGGACTTGCCTTTGGCTGCTCCTCAGAGACATCTGAGACTTCTTAAACGGAAAGAGATCAGGTTTAGATGGGATACTGGGAAGAAATTATTTCCTGTGAGGGTGGTGAGGCCCTGGCACAGGTTGCCCAGAGAAGCTGTGGCTGCCCCATCCCTTGAAGTGTCCAAGGCCAAGTTGGACAAGGCTTGGAGCAGCCTGGGAGAGTGGAAGGTGTCCCTGCCCATGGCAGGAGGGTGGAACTGGATGAGCTTTAAGAGCCGTGATTCCATGGGGACACCTCCAGGCTCCTCCTGGGCTGGGAGAAGTCATTGCAGGGTTGGGCTAATGGTCATAACTGATCCATGTAATTCCATGTTAGTTTATAATTTCATTGCAGTGTTTGCTGCTAAATGCATCCATGCTGAGTTTCAGGTGTTTTTTCTTTCCCTTCTTTCTTTCTAATTTTTTCCCTTGTTTTTTTAATTTCTTTTTTATTTTGCATAAAGTCAGGAGCCTGCCTGCAGCCATACTTGAGGGTATGTGTGTCTCCACCCTGAAATAACTTCTTGTTTCTTCATGTCTAGGATGGAAAGAGGATGTTTGGCACCTACTTCCGAGTTGGTTTTTATGGAACTAAGTTTGGAGACCTGGATGAGCAAGAGTTTGTTTACAAGGAACCCGCAATAACCAAGTTGGCTGAGATTTCCCATCGGCTCGAGGTGAGATGATTTAACTGGCAGTTTAACTGGTTTCCATCAGCTATTTAATAGGAACAGTCCCTTGGCAAAGCAGTTTGCATGGCCCTTTGCAGTGACCCAGAGGTGGGTCTGGTGTCCCCTGTCCTCTTGCTGGTGCCACCTCTGCAGGAGGAGTGGAGGGAGAAGAATTCCACAGGAATTCCTGCAGCAAGAGCTGCAGACCTGATGTGATCCTCCCAGAGTTTGTAGTGCATCATATTGTCATATGTTTGCATCTCTCTTCAGCAACTCAGTATGAATGGGATGAAATAGGCTTGGCAAGAGGCTGAGATGCCTCTTTTAGGATCTGACTTTCAGAATATATAGCATTTTTTTGTCATTTTGTTGGCCTTCACATCATACTTCTCTGCTTGTGGAGATTGAGTCCCCAAAGGTGTCTGAATTTCCAAGCCCCTGAGGTGGGACATCACAGGATGTTCGTTTCAGCTGTGGGCACACAAAGGCTACTCTGATTATTCTTCTTGGGTGCAGCTCCAGCTACCCCCCAGGGATCATCTCATGGTTGGTCTGGCGTGGTTTTGTGCCAGCTAACCTGTGTCCAGACACTGACATGGGGCAGAGCCTGTTCCCATGACTGTTCCCTCCTGTGTGCATGTATGAGGCCGTCCCCAGTGGGAGAGGAAGGGCGTTGAGCAGCCTGGCTCCAAGCTGTGCCACGTTCCTTGTCCTCATTCCTCTGGACCCAGAGGGCAGAGCTGGCCTGGTTTATTTGCTGGAACAGGTCCCCTGTCGTGTTGCTGCTCCCAGCAGTTGAGCTCTGTCACGTTGTGCTGAAGGCAGCAGCGTTGGTGAGGTTTAAGCTCACAAAGCTGAGTTCAGAGCCTGGCCTTTCACCCGGCCCAGCTATGCCACGCTCCGGGATTCCCCGAACTGACCCGTGTCCAGCTGAGCTCACAGACACACAACAAACCCAAATGCCCTGTTCAGAACCAGGCACCATTGGAAGGCTCCCGAGTTCTTCTGCCTTCCAGGGCTTGTTTTTTCCCGTGGCCCCTGGAATGTGACTGATGGAATTCTCCCAGTTTCAGCAGATCACATTCAGCGCCGGCACAGCTTCTGTCGGAGGCATGTGGAGCTTCCCCTCCCCTGCTTGTGCCTTTGTCCCTCCAACCCTCATTGCTCAGGGCTGCATTTGATGTTTGATTTCAATTCATTTGCTCTTGGTCATAGGGATTTTATGGAGAACGGTTTGGGGAAGATGTGCTGGAAGTGATTAAAGACTCAAACCCTGTGGACAAATGTAAACTTGATCCTAACAAGGTAAGAACACAAAGTGCAGGTTTAGAAGTTGAACAGGTCCTGAATGTGTGCAAATGAAATGGGACAAATCCCGCCCTCAATTTCACCAAGTAGGCCACAAAATCCATCTATTGAGTGTTTTGTGACTGCTTGGGATAAAAGTTTGGGAAAATAATTCCAACAGAGGGATGCAGAATTAGCCATTCCCTTTCCTACCCTAACAGTGGTTGGTGGGAAGGGAGGAGATGAAAGGCCAGCAGAGGCCTGGGCTGTGTTTGCTTTTCTCTGCTCTCTGCTGAGTGCAGGGAAGGAGGGACTTTGCCATTCAGTGGCCTCTGGCTTTTGTGCAGCTGCAGCATTTTGTCATCCTTGTGTCATGTCCTTTAAGTGTAGCTGAAAGAACAGGAGCATGCCTGGGAAATAGGACTGTGGCTCAGGACAGGGTGCTACCTGCAAGGAAAGGTTTAGATTAGAGATCAAGAAGAAATTCTTCCCAGTGAGGGTGGTGAGACCCTGGCACAGGTTGTCTAGAAAAGCTGTGGCTGCCCCATCCCTGGCAGTGTTCAAGGCCAAGTTGGAGCAACCTGGTCTAGTGGAAGGTGTCACTGCCCATGGCAGGCACATGGAACAAGGTGAGCTTTAAGGTCCCTCCCTACCCAAACCAATCTAAGATTCTATGATATGAAGGGCGTAAGAGGAGAAGGGCATTGAACTTTGCTTTATCCAGTCCACAAACTGCTGGGCAGCTCCCAGCACCCCTGGTCATGTCAGTGTGAGTGTGATTTTCCTGAGTAAAGGCAAAAACTAGTCCTGTTTTTCCCCGTGGTGGCTTTGGGAGGACAGAGATCCAGCTGGGGTACTGCAGTGCTAAACACAGAGTGCAGCTGCGCTGTGTGCCCGCCCTGAGCCGTGCTCCTCCCTCAGGCCTACATCCAGATCACCTACGTGGAGCCCTACTTCGACACGTACGAGATGAAGGACAGGATCACGTACTTCGACAAGAACTACAACCTGCGGCGCTTCATGTACTGCACCCCCTTCACGCTGGACGGCCGCGCCCACGGCGACCTGCACGAGCAGTTCAAGCGCAAGACCATCCTCACCACGTCCCACGCCTTCCCCTACATCAAAACCAGGATCAACGTCATCCACAAGGAGGAGGTGAGGCTGGTGCCCTTGGGGAATTCTGGTGTTTGAAGGGAAGTGCTGCAGCGGGCTGTGCGGTGCGGGACACGCCTGCATCTCGAGCTTAAGAAGGAGCTTATCCCGGCTCCTGTTCAACCTAAACTAAGCCCAGACTGATTTAGTGCTGTATCTGCCCTGCCACCCCAGCCCACAGCAGCTGGTTCATGCAGTGAGCTTTGTAGGCCAGGTTGGACGGGGCTTGGGCCAGCCTGGTCTAGTGGAAGGTGTTCCTGTCTGTGGCAGGGGGTGGAATGAGATAGGCTTTAAATTCTCTTTCCAGCCAAACCATTCCATGATTCTGTGATAATGCAGGATGCTCCCTTCTGTTCTGCTTGATCAACGTGCCCTTTGCTCTGTGTTGCAGCTCACCTGCATGGCCCCAACAGCCCTGAGCCAGTGGGGCCCTGGTCTTTGTAGAGAGATTTATCCATAGCTGAGTTAATTTTCCAAGGGTGGACAAGATCAGATGTGATCACTGGGGCACAATGAATGATACTTAGGGACTGTCAATGCTGTAACTGCTGGCTGCAGTCACCCAGAGAGACACAAGTGCCACTTAAAAGATTCTCAGAAAGCTCTTGAGTACCCAGAAACACATTTAAAAATCAAACTTGGTCTTGATGTTCCTGAACCAAGACTGAGACGATCTGTTTCTGCATTCCTGCTGCTCAGAGTGTCCTCCCGCACTTGTGGCACCCCACAGTGCCCTGGGTGTTTCTGAAGGGCTGTGCCTGGTTGCCAGTCTCAGCCATAACAAACATCCTCTATTCTGGACACTTCCTCAGATCATTTTGACCCCCATTGAAGTTGCCATCGAGGACATGCAGAAGAAAACACAGGAATTGGCTTTTGCCACCCACCAAGACCCTGCAGACCCAAAGATGCTGCAGATGGTGCTTCAGGGATCAGTAGGTACCACAGTGAATCAGGTGAGGATCACTCTGCAAGCTGGACACTCTGGGATAGTACATACTACTCTGTGCCATGCTCGTGCCTTATTTCTGAATTATCTTGGAATTTTTTCCCCACTTACTCTATGGGATGTGTTTTAGGTCACTGGTAGGTCTAGAACAGCTGGTCTCAGTGATTTTGCCACTTGAGTAGGAGTCCTGAAAATGTTGAAGGTGGCTGGGAAGAGACATCTTTCCCTCAGTTGCAGGCCCCATCCTTGCACTCACAGTTCTTTTTGCCTGCTTCTCCTCCTTCCCTATTTTATTGCTTTCCCTTTGGATAGCCAGGCTCTGGTCGGTGAAAGCAGTTTTGTGTCCGGTTGTGGGTTTTGAACAAAATGGAAAGCAAAACTAATGAGTGAACAGAGAAAAAGTGAGGAAAAACTGAGGGAATGTGAGTAAAGCACAATGCACAAACTGGGAAAAAACCACGTGGAATTCTGAGTTCTGGATTGAGTTTGCAGTGCTGGCAAACACTTCTGGGGCTCCATCTGCATTGTTTAAACTTTGCCTTAGCTGTGAGTTGAGCAAACTTTGTCAGGAGTCCTTATAAAGGAAAACAACTGGAGAACATGTGCAGTTTCTCACACTGTTTTCCAAAAGCAGAGTTTTATTTAGAACAAAGAAAGGCCTAAAAGAGATTCAGTTGTGATGTTTGGTGGTTTACGCCAGATTTACCAGCTGCAGTTCTTCAAGATGCCTTTCTGTAAGGAAATGCTCTGTTTTATGGATGTTTCTACGTGCATGATCTTTCCCCTGTGATTGGATACAACGGACAGTTCTGAGAAACTCACCTTTTCTCTTCTGCTCCTACAGGGACCATTAGAAGTTGCACAAGTTTTCTTGTCTGAAATACCCAACGATCCAAAGCTCTTCAGACATCACAACAAACTCCGGCTCTGTTTCAAAGACTTCACAAAAAGGTATGGAATGTGCTTCTCAAACCACCTGCAAACTGCAGACTGAGTACAGCATTTTTTACAAGCACTCAGAAATGTAAAAAAAACCCCAAACAATTGAAATAAAAATGTTCCAAGCAAATAGATCCAGTGGCAATGCAGAATAAATGGCACTGCTGATACAGTTCCTTTCATACCCTTTATTTAAATTACACTTTTGCAAGCAGAAGAATTCCTGATGAACATCCCTGCCTGCTACTTATTAATCTTCCCTGATTCTATCCATCTCTAAATCCTCTGGGACTGGAAGTGGCTTTGTGAAGATCAGCTTTTCATTTCTCCTCAGAGAGGATAAACATAACTGGAGAGCAAATTACAATATAAAAGGAGTTGTCACTCTGGAAGTGAAATGGAAATTGGAAATATGACACCCTCTCCTTCCCCCGTGGACACCAGGAGGTTTAGCTGAGTGTTTATCACCCAAAAGACAAGATAGAAAAGGATTTTATGTCATCCCAGGGGAACAGAATGGATTTTTTTGTACTATTAGATTAACAAATCTGCAGCAAACAGGTCCTTATAGCTGTGCCCAGGTTTCACAGGGTTTGTTTCCCAGGTGTGAAGATGCTCTGCGCAAGAACAAGAGCCTGATCGGGCCAGACCAGAAGGAATATCAGCGGGAGCTGGAGCGGAATTACCACCGGCTAAAGGAGGCCCTGCAGCCCCTCATAAACAGGAAGATCCCCCAGCTGTACAAGGCAGTGCTGCCAGTCACGTGCCACAGGTGGGTGTTTGATTTTCCCCTCTCAGCAGGGATAAGGAGAGTCGAAAACCAGGGATTGGGGTGTCTGATCTTCCCAGTGAACCTGCAAGCATCTCTTTGGTTTCTACTGTGGCTCTTTTGGCTGAGTCCATCCCTGCCCCTCTGTCCTGCCTGAGAGCACATCCCCTTCCCAGCAGCTCTGGTAGGTGGTGTTTGCAATGTTCCTTTTGCTCCTCAGCTGTGACAGGTTTTTTTTTTGGTTTCCATCCTGCATCCCATTCTTCTTAGATGCAAAACCCCCCTCACTGTGGCAGAACTTTAACACTGGTTTATTCCCAGTGAAACTGGGATGAGGTGCTCCAGGGGCAGGCAGGGTGGGAAAATAGTTGGTGTCTTCCATGCTGGAAGGCCGGGAAGGTGAAGTCTGGGCTTTTTGTTTGTCTGCAGTGAGTCACAACATAAAACCCCACTGGGAATCACAGGATCATAGAGGGGTTTGGGTTGGAAGGAACCTTAAAGCTCATCCAGTTCCACCCCTTGCCATGGTCAGGGGCACCTTGCATTGGCCCAGGTTGCTCCAAGATCCATCTTACCTGGCCTTGGACACTTCCAGGGATGGGGAATCCACAACGTCCCTGAGCAGATCAGAGGATGAGGCAGGTCATGGATATATCAAGCAGGTCAAAGCCCGTAGCAGAAATGTGGCCTTCCCTCTCTGTCCAGGTTTGGGATGTTTTAATCTCTCCCCAGATCATGCACTACTATCCTAGCTGCTCTCTGGAGGCAGTTTTCACCAGCTGGGAGTGGTGGGAATACCAGTTCTTCCCTCCCTACCCAGCTGGGAACTTCAGAAGCACTTTTGGCTTGGTAATTATCTAATCTTGTGAAATTCAGCCTGTGCAGGGAACCTAATACAGGTATGATATAGAGTATCATGGAACAGAGAATCATGGAATGATAGAGAATCATGGAATATCCTGAGTTGGAAAGGACCCACAAAGACCTTCTAGTCCCACACCAGCTATTCCTGGCAAATTGCACTTATATCTGTATTTGAAAGACTTAAAAAAGATTTCAGTAGGGCAGGTGGTTTGTGCTGCTTCCCTTGTGTACACATGAATTAAACTTTCTGTCACTTTTCTGGGTGGTTGGATGGTCCCAGATCCAAACCCAAACACAATTCACTGGAAAAGCAATGAGTTAATGCCAGTGGAATTAATTTTTGTAGAAAATACTGAAGTACAGAGTCATTCATCTGATGAGGCTTCTTATTTCACCATGGAAAATCTGAGCTCATCATTGTATTTTCTCTCCCTCAGAGACTCCTTCAGCAGGATGAGCCTTCGCAAAATGGAAATCTAAACGAGTTAAAAACCAAAATAAAAAAAAAAAGCACTTAAAAATTAAGGTTTTGAAAAGACAAAGAGCCTTGTTATCAGCGCTGGGAATCAAAGAAGTTTTACTGTGAAATAAAACTTGGACTTCATCCTGGACATCCCACACACCTCTTCCTCCATCAAAGTGTTCAGTGGCCAAAAATCATTATGAATTGTCAAATGTAGACTTAACAATGTTTGGAAAAAAAAAAATCATGGCAGTGGTATCCAGAGTATTGGTGATGAGCTGTAAACTTACCTGTTTTTTAAGGCATTTTTATGACTCAAAGGTACACTAAACGCATTTACCTTTATTTATAGCATTACCTAATGTTAAATTTATTTACTTTTAGTTCCTATATTTAATTTATATTAGGACCATACGCAAATGCATTTTGGAAGTTTTTAATGTAGTGATGATGGTTATTTTGATGGTACTATTAAATATGTGAATGTTTACACTTTAATTCCCTGTGCATTGGACTTCAGAGCTCACCATCCCTGGGGAAAAGGTTCAGAGAAAGGTAAGTCTTACGGCATCACTTGTTAACCAAGTGGTCATTTTTTATTATCCCAGTCCTTTTTCTTTGGTAACTTTGCTTCAAAGAAAAATAATTCCATCTGTAGCCGGCAGAAGGCTGGATGGAGGCACATGTTGGTACCACTTCACCTCCTCCAGTACCATGAGGTGGAGTTCCAGCTTGATTTCTGTGTGTACATGGTCATTTCCACCAGCTGGGAAGTCCAGACATCTCACCACTTGGAATTAGCAGTGTCCATGCAACCAAACTGCTTTTTTTGTTCCTTTTTTAATTTAAAACCTAATTTCTTGGGAAAAAAAGAACATAAAATGATATCACAGTTAAAAGCGTACATAAAAAGCATTCTTTGCATTGCTGGTAATGTAAAGACGACGTGTTTTACAGCAGTGATTTTTGGGGTCTAACACAGCACTTGGAGGAAGCAGCAGATTTGGAGCTGAGTATACAACTCCTAAATCTGGTCCTTTATATTTTTCTCTCTGTGTTGAACAGTCCCTTGGAAGAGGTGGTATGTGATTCAACACAAGCTTATTTTCTCTATATAAATACCTAAATGTGCATCTATGTACATGAATACACACAAAAACTGAATTTGATAAACATACTCTTTATATATATATATATATAAAATAGAAGGAAAAATGGGTTTATACATGAAGTGCACACCTTCCTGCAGCAGCAGTGAGGGTTTAGGTGGGATCTTTGTTGTCCTCAATACTTAGTTCAGGTTGTTGGAAGTGCTGTGGCCAAGGGGTGCCTTGGGAAGGGACAGTTCTGCTGATTTTCCCTCCTCCCAGAGGCTTTTATTCCAACAGCTTCACAGTGGTGGTGTTTTGGGGAGTGTTGTGTCAATTTTTGACCGTTTCCCTTGAATATGAATAATCCTGAACTGGTTCTGTTGTCATGGAATGTAATACAGAAAAACTCTGACCTTTTAAGGGATATTTAAAGTCTGGGGGTGTTGACAAGGTTATGGAAGCATCAGAGGAGTCAGGGACTCTCATAATGGAAAATATTAAGGAAGGAGGGAGTGGCTTTGCAAGACATTTACAGGAAGAGGCATTGAAAATATTTACACAGTGAAAAAGGGGGAATAAATCCAAATAAGCCTGAAAGAACGAAACTTTAATTTACAGCAGTCCTACTCCAGGAGAGTTACATGACTTACTGCAGCAAGTGGCAAGTTCAGGAGGGTGGCAAGTGGTGCTCAAGTAAATCTCAAAAAAACCCCACCCCCTGCTCCCTTTTCTCCCTGTGCCAGAGGAGTGTTTTTCATTCAGAATCTTTCTGTTCAGCTGCCACAAAGAATCTTCTCCCAAGCTTTATGCTATGATGGAAGGCACCTGGATCTTCCTCACATTTTGTTGAATATAATGGCATTTTGTTTCCTTGGAAGCACTCCTGATTCTGCAGTTGAATGAAAAAGATAATTCTCGGGTCAAGTGTGGAAAAATAAACTTTCATTTGCAGGCTGAAATTCAGCAAACCTTAAAAAATTGCATTCTGTAATAGGATGGTGCTGCCCTTGCAAGGTAAGATCACTGTTATTTTTTTAATGTAGCTATTTCTTGGTTTAGACTCTGAAATTATTTATTATGATGCAATGCTTTGGAAAACGTTGTAAGTGCATTTGTCATTCCAGCTTTTTTATCTAGGATATGCTGCAAAGTCAAGGCCTGTACAACAATCAGACATTGTACAGACACTAACATGGAAAATACACTAAAGATACTTTTCCTGAGTTACCTCAAGTGTTCACACAACATTACAATAAAAGGTTGTAAAAATTAAGTATTGCAGAATTAACTAGGTAGAGGGTTTTAGGGCTTTTCCTGTAAATAAATTAATTTGTATTATAATAATAATAATAATGGCCAGTCTTCGCGAGCAAAGATCTGGGGAAGGTCTTTACACCTTCCAGCCTGCACATTGGATTTTTTAGGTGAGACACAGTGTGCGCGGAACTGAGCCCACCCTTTAATCCTAAGGTTCATCTGCCGGGGCCAAGCGAGCTTGGACGGTGGCAGCGAGGTCCTTAGGACGTAGGTGGGTTGCCTTTAAGGGCTAACGAGCCCCACCTGCGCGGGAGTGGCCCTGACCGGGAATCGAACCCGGGTCTCCGCGGTGATAGCGCGGCGCCTTTACCGCTAGACCACCAGGGGCTCCAATTTGTATTAGAAAAAGGTAAATATATCCAGTAAACCAGGGCATACTCACATCCTGGGTATCTTCCCTTGTCTCTCTGCAATCTTCATGTCATTCCACCCATCCCATGACAAATACTCACCTTGCTTTGTGTCATAGTGATTAAGACTCTGTCAGTTTATAGGATTCACCTTAAATTGTCTAACAGACAGTTTGGGATTTTCATCCCAAATAATGTTTAGTGCAAACATTTTTGGTTTTGCAATAAGTATCTGTTTACCCTGAACCTCACACCTCTGGTCATCAAATGCCTTCAAATTAGGATCTACTGTACAAGAAACAGTTAAAAAAACCCCCACAGAATGTTATTTTTAAAACCTTCCATTTCTTTAAGACAGTTTACCCCCTTTTTATAACTGTTCCCAAATCACTTCCTCTTTGTTTTTCCCCTTCCAACACAAGAGTCTGATCTGGTTGTCTCAGATGAGTATCATAAGTTTTTTATTTCATATATACATTCTTAACAAAGCATCAAAGCCAAATGCTTTCATTTTCCTATTTTGCAGTGAGCTCAGGTACAAATTCACTGTTAAAAGGTCACCACTAAGTTCCAAACTCACCCAGACATATATGCAGATCAGAGGGCTCCACTCTTCAAAGTACAAAATTATTTTAATTACACTACACTCTGCCCCTGTGTTGAAATATTAATCACACCTATTTACACTTTGCCCTTTAACACCTATGCAACAAGATGCAAATTAGGCCAGTCAAGCATTTCTATGAAGTTCAGGTCCCTCCAATGCACTAAACAAGGTTCCAAGACCCTTTTCCTTGTGCTCTGAGTTGCACAAAGCAGGAAGGAAAAGGATCAGGAGAATAAACCACATCAATTACCCAAAGACTAAATATGAAGTGTTACTTCCCAAGTTACAAAAATACACAACTTCTGGTGAAATTTGCTAGTTAATATACATTTACTCCAGGGTATGAATACAAATAAATTTTATTTAAAAAAAAAAAAAAAAAAGAAAAAGCTAATAATACAATAGGCATGTCTGAGACCTAGAGCTGCAGTAAAACCACTATTGGTGCTGTAGGCTTTGTTTAGGATCTATACAAACTGGTATTTCTAAAAGGTTGTAGCACTATTCTCCAGCAGAAAAGTTAAGGTGTGAGTCAAGTTCCATGTCGTGTTTTGTTAAGTCAAGTTGAGCCACTTTACACTGAAGAAAAAGACCAAAAACATGAAGAATCAGTAGCTTCAAAAAACAAAACAGCCGTTTCTTCCAGGTAGTTTGGATGCAAATCAGACCAAGAGGTGTATGCAAATCCCGAATATTTACAGTCAAAGTACAGTATCACTCTACAATTTTCTTATAAAACAGTAGGTAAGGAGTCGATGTAGATGACGATGTCGGAGAAAGAGAATTCAGAAAGTCCTTTTCTTCTGTGACCTTCACTTCGGAGTCATCAAAGAGCAGCCACTTGCCCTCGTACTCCTTGAGGCTCTGGAGCACATACAGAGCCTTGTTTTCCAGCCCGCTGGCTCCCACCCCGTTGGCCTCGCTGTGCTCCGCGCTCTGCTCGGTGCTCCCTGCACTGCGCTCGGGGCTCCTGCTCTCCGTGACCACACTGAGGAACTTCTCGGGGTTGGCTGGTTTGTTGGGGTACAGGTCACAGTCAGACTTGCTCTTCTGCCCCCCGAGCAGTCCCACAGCTTCCATGTTCTTCTTGCTAAGGACCTTGCCCAGCTGGGTGGCGCCGTTGACCCTGAAGGAGACCTCGCCGTCGTCGTCGCTCACAGCTCTGGCCTCCTCCTCGTTGAGCGGCTCCGGTTTGAGCACGGCGTACGTGGGGTTGGCCATGAAGGTGCCCCTGTCCAGCTCCAGGCTGCTGAGATCCGTGATCTTGACCGAGGCCGTGTAGTGTCCGCTGCTGATGGTGATGCCGCTGTGCATGACCACGGCAAATAATCCATAGGTGTCATTGGTGGGCCTGGTGCTCCACTCCTCCAGCGACAGCTTGAGCGGCGTCAGCAGCGGAGTGTTGATCTTGGACAGGCCCCCGTAGCAGTCAAACCTTCACAAGGGAGACACAAGTTAAACTCTTTCCCAGTAAACACCACTTTAGGTCTGTAGGCCCATCTGTTGTTTTCCACAAGTGATCAGGAGAAGTTTCTCCCTTCTCACTTTGGATCACCAACATCTGTTCCCAGCATCCTGGTCAGTAAAGGCACTTTTATGACTGTATAATGGTAAATTTTACAGCCTAGGAACTGTAAATTTTAACAATTTCAGAGACTCCTTTTTTCTAAAGTATCAACTAAATTAATTTTTAAATAGTGATGATAAAAATAATTAGGCTAATTGTTATCATTCCTGATTCTGTCCATGCACAAACACCTGCACTCCTCCCCAGACACCACTCTGCTTAAAAAGCGAAACAAAAACCTCAACAGCCAAGGCTGAAATAAGGAGGGTTGGGTTTTTTTCCCCTCCTGAAAGAGTCATTTGCTAAATAAAGAAATACAAATCTATTTTACTTTTAAGTAGCTTCAGAATCACTTAGAAAATCTGAGTGGTTTTTCTCAGATGCCCTCAGTGCACTGCCCCTGGTGTGCACCTAGTGACAACCAACAGTTGCTGCCAGGGATTCCTCATTACCTGTCCTATGGTGGTCCATTTTTTCCAAGCAATTCTCTGGCTGATTTACTTGGAAAAGCATTTGGTATTCCAGAAATACTCAGCATTTTGTTCATAGTGCACAAATTTACCATGAGAAAAGTTTAAGTCCTTTCATCCTTACAAGGATCTTCTACAGTTTGAAAAAAACCCCACATTACTGAATTATTCTGATCTTGATGAGTAACATATTGCATCAGCACAAATTAATTAACCTCTTTATTTAGTGACTGGTTGTGATGTCCTAATAGATTCCAGTGATGATTCACTTCTTGCTCAACTTTCAGGGTGTTGTAGGGAAAAATCCAGGGGAATACAGGCAAGCCCTGTAAACTGAGGTCCCAAAGACCTCACTGCTATTATCCTAAGAAAAACCATCTCGAATCCAAGGAAAGTGTAGCTATGGCATAACTGCAGTAACAGACTCTTGTTTTCCTGGGTTTAGTTTTGATTCTACTTCTCATCATTTCACTCGTGTTCACAGCCATAAACCCTGATAAACACATTTACACACACACAGATACTCAGTCAGTCACTCTCATTAACTGAAATCTCACTTTAGACCTAAGCTTAACATAAACATTTGACTCCACCAAAAGGAACACAAAGAGCATATAATCAGAAATAATAAAACTTAAATCTTCTGAAAATCCCTACTGTTAGTAGCCAGAAATAGAGATATGCAGAAGAAAGTCAAGGAACAGAGAAACTGCTTGCTGATACTCCAGATCAGAAATCCAGTTCCACTCAAGCACACTGGGACAATCATACACAGAGCAGTAAAAAGCAGGCTTTGCCTTTCTTCTGAATGAGATCCAGCATTAAAGACTTGGAGAGGAGGAAAGAAGTAAGAGAGGAAATCTTTTCCTATTAGCTTTTTGTTCTTCTTAAAGATAAGAATCTTAAGACAGAAAAATTGCATGCCAAGTACCCTGCCTGCTCTGACTGATGCACTTCACACAGAGCAAACCTGACTTCTGCAGCTACATCTTTTGAGGCTATAAATTAACTTTACCCACTGTACTCCATTTCACAAAACAAAAAGCTGATTTTCTCACCAACTGCTAAGCTTCTATAGTGGAAATGCTTAATTACATATTACCAGTTACACACTTCTCCTTAAGAGCTTTGCAGCCTGAGCACACGTGGCCTATGATTTCCCCCCACACACACACTTGCCAAAGAGAATTACTCATCCCCAGGCAAGTAGATTTTCACACTGGTTGCTTTATTTTAAAACAAACACTTTGCAAACCAGCATCTAGGAAACATGAATAAAGCTCCTATTAACTGCAAATATTTACATTACCCTTCATTTCTCTTCATTTATTTACAACTCAGTCATCAGAGAACTCAGTAGAGCACAACTGAGCAGGCAACATTTCCAAATTTTTATGGGAGCTAAGGGAAGGTGGATGAAGATGCTTAGCTTAAAAATTTAAGTAAGTTTGAAGACAGTAAAACAGTTTGTTACCACTTTTAGCAATGACATGGTTTTGTCCAAGATAAAACATTCAAGTCAAAAACCGGGGAACTCTTCTAAACAGTTTCAGCTTCATCACTGACTCCAGTTGTACACTGATTTTTCCACTCTGACTTCCTTAATCTCTGGTTGCCAGCCCTTGGCAGAAAATGTCTGGCATGACTGAGGACACGGGAGGAAAAGCACAACAGACTGGATTTTCACTCTGACCTGGATATTGGTCTGAGTATTTTGGAGCAAGGACCTGAAGGTTGCCAGGACAGAAGAAGAGGTGAGTGGCTCAGGAGATGGCTGTTTAACCTGAAAGTGCTTCCCTAAGGAAACAAAAACATAGGAAATAGAGGAGCAAATGGAAGATAATATTCAGGTTTCCTTTCAGGTGGTATTTTTTCAATAGCCTATAAACATACCAGGATGCCATCCCACATCAAGTGCTACTCAACAATACAAGGGGATTTTTAAGTGTGCAACTTTGAGTCAATATATATTAAGTCAATATTTAAGTCAAATATTATGGACATCAATGAAAAGACAATTTTGTGTATTATGATCCTGGACTTGTATGAAAAGACATTGCAGAGACAGAGGAAGTTTCCTTTCTATTTTGTCAGAAACCTGGATATTCCTAAAAAAAAAAATACTACAAATGGGTAGAGTGAGAAATGCACCTTTAACAAATCGTAGCAAACTACCTGTAAAAAGGTAACAATACCATCCTCAGCACTGGATGTTACAAATCTTAAACTGACCACAGATACCAGCACTTGCTTAGAGAGCACCCTCTGACAAATCATCTGACAACTTAGATGTGGTACTTTTATCTAAAATATTGGTGACACAAATATTATAAACTAAGTTTTCCTCCCATCCCAGAGAAAATCCCTAAATTCTCAAGTATGAAAAAAACCAAACAAAACCACTCACAACTGCTTTCAAAACATAAGAATTACTACAATTCTAACATCAAACACTGATTGCTCAGTAGCTGAACATCAGTGAGGCTGGCATTACTGCATTTTTAAATTAATTGATCAGTTTTTTGGTGTGTTAGCTCTTTAAAATATTTATCTGCCAATTTTTCCACCTGAGATTTTAGTGCTCACATTCAGGTAGAGAGCACTAAAATTTGTATTGTAAAAATTGTAAAAATTTGTACTAAAAGTATTTTTTAAGGAATTGATCAATTTTGGGTAATGACTGTTAGCTCTTTAAAATATTTAACTCCTGATTATTATTCTTCCCCACTTACATTCATTTTTTTAGTACTTACATTCAGGTAGAGACTGGCTGTGATCATAAAATTCAGATTTGTTCTAATTACTTATTCTGTTAAAGTACTTAAAGCTGCCTCTAAACTCAAAAGGACAGGTGATATTTAAAGTAAAGTTTTAAGAAAGAACAGTAAATCAGGCTGTTTTTTAAGAGTATAGTCAAAATATTTTTGTCAAGAAGTCTCCTAAAAGTCAATTTTCCTGCAGGTAATTTCTGCCACTGCTCGTAAGAAGAAAAAGCCTTTATGGAATCAGGGGCTGCATCCCAGCCATTTAAGTTAATTTCAATCTGGAAATCTGCTTTTGGCAAAGTTACAAAGCATTTTCAACTCCTGTGATATGATTTCCCTTCCTCCAGGACACTGTTTCATAACACAGTCAATGCATACTCACTCCAAGCCACTGGCAGCAAAGCACTTCAAGTGAATTGTTATAACTTCGGGCATTTTATCGAATAAAAGGCTGCGCTCGGCTTCCGTGTAGTGATGGCAGTTCTCACAGAAATATTTGTCCTCTCCCACAATCCTTTCCACTGAGGCAAACTGTGAAATTGCCCATTTCAGAGTCTTCGTTTCTGTTTTTGGCTCTGGAGAAACTA